TGTTTATCAGCGTCCTAATTTTTTGCTGACAGTTTTTATTTCAAAATTTCAATTTTTTGTTTACTAAGGCTTTTTAAAATTTGTAGATCTCTATTCCAATTGAGTCTTCTATTAAAAGTTAGTCCTAGTATTTTTACCTCTTGAATTTCTTTATTCATTAATTTAAGTGTAATCTGATCTTTATGTTTATTATACTTTTAGTAAATATAATGAATTTTTTTATCCAGAGCAAATGAAACCAGTATTTGTCGAGTCATTTGGTAACTTTTTCCTCTGTTATAAAACGTGAAGTCATCGACGAATAGTTTTCCTAAAGCGGGCAGATCCAGATTATTGGTTATATCGTTTATAGTTAACAGGAAAAGTAAGACTCCGTTGTTTAGTATAAAAGGCTTGGATACAGAGCTATTGGCTTTGACTCTAATAAGTTTTTTTATTAAATTTTTTATAAAATTATACGCATGTCCGTCGATTCCTAGTTCTTTCAGTATATATAAAACTCTTTCGCGACTCTTTCGTGACAAATCATTTCGAAGGCTTTTTCAATATCCAGAGTTACAGTAATAAGATGATGTTTCTTACAAAATGCGTCACATATTGCATCTTCAAGCATAATGAGGTGATCATAAGTAGAGCGGTTCTCTCTCAATCCATTTTTCTAAGAATAAATACTTGTTTTATTTCCAGAAAATTTTTTAGTTTTTTATTAAGAATTTTCTCCATCAATTTGCATAAGTTGTTAGTGAGCGATATTGGTCTGAAGTTTTTTAGAGATGATTTTTTCTTATCGTGTTTACAGATTGGAAAATAGTAGTTAGGTTCCGTTGATAGGGGAAAACGTTTTCTAGCAGAATAAAATTCATCAGTAGTTTTTTTTAATATACTTTAAGGTTATTAAAGGAAGATTTTTTAACATAATATTGGGAATTTCATCTGGACCAGGAGCCGAATTTTTGCAGTGATTGAGAGTTAAGATAATTTCATTTAGCTGAATCGGAAAGTCTAAAAGATCATTGAAAGACGGGTGTAAATAGGTGTTATTGTTTGTTAACGTTGATAATACATCGTTTTTTGTAGTTTTTGCGTAGTTCATTCTTTGGGTTAAGGAGACATCTGTAGGAGTTGAAGAGACGATAGAAACTTATTTAAAAAAATTATTTGACAACTGCAGTTTTATTTCTAAATTCGCTTGTTTTAACGACTTACTTTTTTCTTTTGCTTTGACCAATTTATTTAACAGTTTAGTTGAAGTAACTTTTCTCTTCTTTTATTTTTTCTAAGCTACTTCGTCTTCACTGTCATCACTATGCTTTATACAGATGAAACGGTTGATACTGGATTGATATATTCAGCATATCTAAAAATTAACCATTTTCTAAAATTCAAATCAATAAATTAAGAATACTATACATACAAAATTAAATACAAATTATTTATTGTTAAAAATTAAATAAAACAATTGCGTAAGTGAACTACATGCAATGTTTTCACAATTTATTAGAATAACTGGCATATACATAAAGTGTACAGTGTGCGCATGCGCTGGCGTACGTGTACCTGCGCGGCACTTCTGGTTTGATCGCTAAATTGAATAAATTATTTAGAAACGAAGGCCCATCTTTTTATTTCTTGCTGTCACCATGCCCTTGCGTCCAATAGGTTATCGGATTAGGACACGCTTACACCGTGCCAGGTCAGAAGAGCCATTAATAACAAGAGTAAGTAAATAAATTTTAGAGAAAGAAGACTTGGTGCCAGATCGTGCATCAAAGGCGTAGCGTTTTTACCATGAAAGCTTGAGTGAGTTTTGAGTACGGTGCGGAAAATAAAATTAGAGAACGAGGGCATAAGTGTTAAATCATTGTGCCAATTTTTTTGAGAATAGATATTCAGTGTTTGCAAAATAAAGGGTAAGAGTGCTGACTTTCTAGTCATAAATTCAAAGCGAAATAAACAAGGAAAATTTGAGCCGGTGATACTAGAGGAGTATTAATATAAGAGAAAAGGCGAACGCGAGTGTTTTAGAGTATGACACGATATAAATAAATTGTTAGTATATAAAATAGCACCGCGTCACGGATGACACTTAAACAAAGGAGCGCCATGACACCCGGCAAAAACACGTGAGTCCGCGATCTTAAATAAGCACCGATCTGTAGCTAGAGTACGAAAAAGAAACATATTAGAGAGAGATAGCATGCGCGAACAGAGTGCGCATGGCAAACGTCACAGATAGAGACAGATAGAGTGAACGAGTAGAGTGCACGTGGTAAGCATAGTCGAAAGAGACAAATAGAATACGCGAATAGAGTGCGCAAATCGAATGTATTAGAAAGAGATAGCGACAGAGTACGCAAGTAATAGAAAGAGAGCGTAAATAAAACCCGGATCGAGCTTAGAGGAGAAACCACCTGTTCTGTTCTGAGCGCTTGCATGCAGACATATCTATATAATATAAAATGTAGAAAGTAAATTTAAATTAGATGAATACACACACACACATGCACACACACACACATATATATATATATATATATACACAAATTTATCTACATACGTACATGTAATTTAATAATTCAAATACTCTGTGAATAGAGGAAAAGAATATTTTACACTGTAGAGAATATATTAGAAATTAGAGAAATATTCTACTTTGAGATAAATAAATAAATAAATAAACAAAGGATTAAACAAATAAATTAAACTAAATAAAAATAAAAATACTGAACTCCCTAAAGTCGAGGTTGTTGCCGCTAAATTTGGTCAGCACCTCAAAGACTTTGACATTTACTTCGATTTTTGATCCTTTATTGCAAACATGAGCGATTGCCCCATCTTATTAAGTTGCATTGAGTATAGTTATCTGAAAGAAAAGGTACACGAGAAGAATGCTGATTGACTTGAAAAGTATCTGTCGTTCTTGGATTGGTTTCATCAGAAGTATCTGGTGAATCTCGTAAAGAAAATATACGATAATCACAAAATTAGATAAAAATATTTGATAATATTTTGTTAAATTCCGAGAGATAATATTTTGTAAAATTATTTTGTTAGTTTAGATATTAAATTTCGAAATTGTTGGGGAGACGCAACTGCAGACCTCAACCGTTGAACAACCTGCTGCTGCACGTAGGGGTGCTGAGACAAGTATAAACTTATAAATTAATTTATGTTACACATAAATTAAGCAATAGTCAGAGTTTAGAAAAGCTATTAAGTAGTCTTAAAGAAATAGATCATGGATCCATGATTAATAGATTTTTAGAGAAAATCCGAATGTTTATTAGAATACTGTTTATTAATATTGAGAACATCACCAACAGACACAACAACATCAAGTATTGTATCAGCGCCGATTTAAACAACGGCTGCAGGGATTCAGAAGGAGAGAGAGAGATTATAGAGAGAAGAGAAAAATTATAAATTAAAAATAGGTAGAGAGGAAAGAGAAAAATTAGAAAGAGAAGAAAGAGACAGAGACAGAGACGAGAGAGAGGAGAGAGAAGCGAGAGAAGACCTATATCATTGGAGGCAGCAGTTTCTTTCGATGACAGTGGAGATTGCCATCGCATCATCTAAATGAATCACGGAGATGCAGAATCAGATTTGGCCCTACTAATATACATAAAAATTCATTATGACAAAAATATTATGTCAGATTATTAAAATTTTATTACATTTTCTTTGTTCTTCTTTAAACAGTTTTTTTCGTTTTTTATTTTTTATTTTGTGCTTGATTACTTCTTAAGCAGCTGGCTTCAAGCTTGAAACTATTTTTTTAAATCATCTTCTTTTAGTAATTAGAATCAACATACAAATCTTCATCTTCACTTGAATTTTCAACAGTGAAACTTTTATTTTTTTTTCTATGTTGCTTTTTCCGTAGCTTATGGATGCTTTCAACAGCAGTATCAATTTATTCTTCAATATCAGTATTACTCTTACGAATAAATAATTTATTTTGTCATTTTAATTAAGTCAGTATTTACTTATACAAGTAAAAGTATTTAATAATTATTAATAACGCAACTATTTAAATAAGAAAAAACTGTGTTTATTAAATGAAAAAATCAACCACACCAAAAATATTAGCTATTTAACGTTAAGGGGATGTCATACCTCTGTTTTGCCGACTTTTTCTTTGGGGCATATTTTCTCCCAAAATATGCATCGGAAGACGTTCATACTGCGGGTAATAATTGATTATTAGATAATAAAGTGATGTATGATCGACTTTTTGATGAAATTAAGAAAAATTATATATTTCTAAAACAAAATTAGATTAACAATTTTAAATAAGCAGTCGCCATGAATATGAAAATAAATAATTTTTATTGATTTCATCAACGAGTAGACCATACTTCGTTTTATTATCTAGTAATCAATTATTAGGTGAAGTATAAACATTCTCTGATGTGTATTTTAGGAGAAAGTATGACCCAAAGAAATAGTCGGCAACACAGCGGTATGGCATCTCGGCTTGGATCTCAACTAATTAACGAAAAACGAACAAACTACCTAGTAACATTTTTATTCTTCGTCATAACAATATTAACGTGGTTTTTTAAGGCAATGCTATTGATATCGAGTTATTAGTATCTGATCTGTGTACATCGATTTTTATCTTTTTATCATAATATTAAATAAATAATTTATAAAGAAATCTACAATGTCTTGTTACTTATTTGTATATAAAATTTATTGTGGTTGACTTTTATTTATAAAATGTTTACTATGCAAAAATTTACAAGCCATAATGACCATAACTTATACATATAACATTCCAAAAATTAAATTTATTTCATAGAAATTAATTAAAGTAACACATTACGGTTAAGTTATATCCAATAAATTGGATCAAATGTTATAAAAAGACATGAAATGATATATTTTTTAGTTTAAGAAAATGTAATTACTTTTACAAAACAAATCAGTATGTTTTAACTTTAATATTACACAAGTTTTTATGTGTATCATTTATTATGAAAGTTTTTTGGATTTTTACCTTTCTTAATAGTACATTGTCCAACTAATTATTCTCAATAATTATCATAATTAATTAAATTGTTAACAATAAACTTAATGAAATTTTTCTTTTATGCTTAAAAACAGAAAAGTTGTCATAATTACATATAAAACTTATATTATACACAATTTCCTATTTAGTAGTGATTGAATAGAATTAATATGATTCTATTATAAGTCCTGCATTAAAAATTCTCAAGACAATATGTTTAAAAATATATCAACATGTCAATGGCATCTTTTGATTTCAAAAGTACTGATGACTGTATTTGTACATAATATAATACAACTTTGTAAAACATACTTTTGTAAAATCACTATTCTGAGAGATGAACACGAAACGGACCTATTCTGAGAATAGTGAAATCGCCAGCAGCTAGTAAATTTCCTAGTGTTGTGTAGAAATACTTTTTCGATACTCCATGCGCAAAGTGCATCTTTCCTGCACGCTCGGTATAAAACGTGCGTTGAAAATCACACTTTCCACACGTCGTATCAAAAAATACGGTACGGCACATGTTCGGGAAAGAGTTTCTCGTCTCGTGTACCTTTCCACCTTCGCTTTGCTCGCGTGTAAACGCCACACGAGACAAGAATCTACTTTTCGGCACTTGTATCGTAATGTACTATTACGAGATAGTATTTTTACAACGAAAGCCAAGATTTAGGCTATCGAAAAATTACTAGTTTCAGAGTTGGACACAAAACGAACCTAGTCTAATACATAATCTTTACAAAAATAGTCTTTATAAAACGAATTGTAAATTTACTAGAATTTGTAATATTACTAGTATAAGACTAGTAAAAAATATTACACTTAGAGTTAAACATCAGTTGTAATTTTACTATTAGATAGTTATTATACAAAAGTATTTTTTACAATGAAGTTATATTTTATATCACACGTAGTTATTTTATATTTATTCACAAAAATAAACAGTTTCTCAAAAATAACAAGTATTTCATTAAAAAAAATGTATAATCTTATCATGTACTTGTTAAATAGCTTTTAACATGAAGTAAATTAATAACGATTACACAACGATTAGATTCATCGTTTCATTTTTTTCTTCATAAATTCTTTTTTCTTTTTCTTTTCTAAGGCTTCTTGGCGAATATCTTCGAGATCCTCCATTATTCCTAAAAAAGAAGTTTTAATTAAGAGATGAAATAAAATATTATTCATGTAAGTCATATTTAGTTTACCTATTTTAGTTGAAACAAATTCTTCCCTCAATTGTTGAGCAAAGTTACTTTCCATAGCAGTATCATCTTCATCATCTAAATGTCTATATTTATTCTTATCATAACCAAATATTTCACTAATATATTTACTATAGTCTGCACTTTCATCTTCTGGCCCATCGTCAATGAAATCATCTAATTCGGAATCGTATTCTTCATCATCTTCATCGTAGATACGTCCTGTAAATTTGATTATTTAAAATAATTAATGTGTTTATTAAACATAGAATTAACTAAAAATAAAACTTACGCTTGTTGACTTTCAATTTCGAAGAACCAGCTTTTGATTTTGATGATCTTACGTCAGGAGGAGGAAATTGTCGTGGTTTAATATCCGATGGTGGGAAAGGCCTCGATTTTACATTATTTGGTGGAATGGGTTTGGACGAAGTGTTTTTTAAATTCGAATTTTGATTGATTGAATCTCTGATTTTAGTTCCAGATGTTTTTTGTATCGTCCAATTGCCAGGTTGTCTATCATCAATTTTTTTATTCTTGCTGATCATCAATTTCTTCTTTTCTTCTTCAATGGTTCGACGTAATTTCTCCAATTTTCTTTTTTCTTCTTCTAGTATTCTCCGTTCCTCAGCTATAGCATCTTTTTCAGCCGTTGATGCTTTTGATAACGAATTTTTGTTCACACCATTACTTTTTTCTATAGATCTATTTGCAGTATTGATTCTATCTACTGTCTTAGATAGATTTTGACCTCTTTCTGGTAGTCTATGTTCCCCATTACTTTTATTTACAGGTTTATTCGTACTATAACTTCTTTCTGTAATTTTGTCAGCTGATTTTTTAGAAATACTTGGCAGCGTTTTAGTTGCAGTCTTTTCAATATCACTTGAAATTTTGTGGCCATTTGACGTCACAGATTGTGTTAAAGTAGTCTTCAGGAACTTGCCACTATCAGCAGATGAGTTCTCTAATGATTTTGGATTCTGTTGTTCTCGCATTCGTTGCTCTTTTTTTTCCCGCCATTCTTTTTCTTTTGCATATTCTTTCATTTGTCTCTTTGTCATCAACCTTTCAGGCTCCTCTTTTGGCTTAGGTTTTGGTTCAATTTTGATTGGTTCATACTGTTTTTTCTCTGCAAGTTTAAGTAATGCTGTAAAATCCATTGGTGGAGGAATAAATTTTTTCTTGATTTTTGGTTTTTCTTCTCGCTCTGTATCCCTGTCTTTATCATAATCTTTTTCTTTATCCTTACTTTTGTCTTTGTCTTTATAATCATTTGAATCTTCTGATTCTCTAACATTTTTCTCTTGTTCCAAATCTTTATGTTTTCTTTTTCTCCGATGAGGAAGAGATTCTTCTAATTCTTGTTGTTTCAATGCTTGCTTAACTCTGTCCTGTATTTATGAAGAAATAATTTATTAATATTTAACTACAGTCATGTAAAATGTTATATGAATCTAATGACTCTTACTTTTGTAGAAGCTATATCTTTGACAGTCTTTTTTCCATCTTTACTAAATAAAGGTTTTTCAGGAGGTAGACTATTGTATTTACTCATTAATTTATTATAATATGCAGATGCTTCCTGGGAAACATATCCATAATCATCTTCATCACACTGTGCTGGACCTGTGGATCACAAAAAATTGTACAATAGTGCAATAAAAACTATTTACTAATCATTAGTAATGAATTATGGGAAACAGAAAAATTATTTTTAAATTTACTTATTTTATAAATAACTATTATGATAAAAAAAAAATAAAAAATTGGTTGACAAATAAAAATTTTTATACAATGTATTAAATAATTATATAAATTGATTTACTAAATATAATCTTTATTTATTTAAAACAATAAGCTAATAATCTTGTAACGATAATAGAAAAATATACTCTTAATAAAATCTTGCAAAATTATAGAGCAAAGAAATAAGAGAGTGACACCCAAATACTAAAAACAAAAACTATCACAACTTAATTTATTTTTGATGATTCGTTGGTTTGTCTTCCAGCTCATCAGGTCATATAATAATGTAATCTTCAAAAATTCTTCAGTTGCGTTAGACTTGATGAGGCTGGAAGACAAACCAGAGAAACACTGTCAAAAATAAATTGAGTTAAGATAGTTTTTGTTTATAGTATTTGGCATTCTCTTGTTTCTTTGCTCTATAATTTTGCAAGATTTAATATAATTAAGAGTAATAATATGGTTACTTACAATAAGTTTTATTTGACGTAAATTTTTTTTCTTTAAATAGTCAAAGGAATGTCCAAAGTAATATTTTTTCTATTATATAAATGTTTAAGAAACCAATCAACAAACCTGCAAGAGTAACTGCTGTATTTTCATGATCAACAGCATCAGCAATAGCAGCTTTGTTAGCTGCTTTACAAACTTTTAAATGCTTATTGATACGGTTTTGTGTTTTCTGATCTCGTAAGGCTAAGAGATGCTGAAGAAAAGTATATATAAATTTTACATAAAGTTAAAAAGTATATCAAAATAAGATAATAAACTAACCTCTTTTTTTCTTTGCTCTTCTACATTTTTTTGTCGCTCTTCTTCCTCTTTTCTGGCCAAAAACTTTTTAATATTGTTCGAAAGCACTTTTGATTGCTTGGATTCTTTTTTGGGGGGTGCAAACTTTGTTTGATAGTATGCTTTGGCAGCTGGTCTTTGCTCATTTTTCTGAGCAACACTTAGTAGTGTATCAAAATCCATGTTTCAAACAATAGCACTTTGCAAATCTCTGTTTACGTTTGCTGTTTACCTACTACGAATAAAGCTACAAAACACGAGGTTTATTCTTCGTAATGTTATTCTCAGGAGACATCAATATTGTTACTTGTTGAAGCTCTCAACTATTCCATCTGTATACTCCAAGAGAATTTTTAGAATATAGCAGACAAAAAGGATGGTTCTCGATTCACAAACTTTGGCGTCTGCTCTGCTGCACGCGTGGCGTTTTTCGGCATGCCTTTTAAAAGCGATGAAACTTATGGAAACAATTAACAAACAAAAACTATGCTAGTTCAGACTGGCATGATAAATTACGCAAAAATCGCTAGGTTCAAGACACGAAAAACAGGTTATGATTATTTTCTGGAAGCGACTGAGCGGTGTTTATAGGTGTAGAGTATACAACTTTAGTGTCGTATATAACCTATCTTTGTCTAACATTCACGACTTCCATATACTTTAGGAAATGTTACCTTTGTCCTTTACTATAAGTCACACTACCATAACGTCTGGTATTTTCTTCTCGCTTTTTCGAATCACATCTAAATTCTATAGACACATAAATCTTTAATAAAAGAGATTTTTGAAAAGTGAAGTCTCTATCGATTCTGATTAGTCGATTTGAAATAAATGTTAACCTATGATTGATTGAAGCATATAAACGTTGAGTGCAAAGCGCGCTTATTGACTTCTAGAATATATAAATAACAAACCGAAATCGATTACTTAGTTTGGTCACTGGTGTGCTTTTTGTTTATCTTTCATGTCCAAATCGTGGTATTAAACGTATTACGTTCTAATGAGACGAAAGAGACCATACTGAACGTAGTCTCCATGATATCAAATGCAAATACAACTATCCTCAGTTTGAACTGAGCTGATAACGCTATCAACAGTGTAGGCAATTTAAGGAAATAAATTTTCAATTTTTGGCGGCAAATTTAATTTTGAAGTACATAAATATATACATTCCAGGCAGGGTATTACGTAAAGGCGTTTCGTCTGTGTGATTGTACGCGCGCGCGCGCGTGTGTGTGTGTGTGTGTGTGTGTGTGTGTGCGCGTGTGTGTGTGTGTGTGTGTGTGTGTAATAAGTCTAGTAGTAAAATCGTTTTTATATTTATGCTTTAGCAAGTTTACAAACAATTATTTCATTGATTGCTGTTTACTTTATCTTCTAAATGTGAATTTGATGATTGATTAGGAAAAAAACTATACTCGTTACAAGAAATGAAAGCTATAATTTTATTTATTTGCCAAATTTCAAAAAGAAATATTCATATATTGACAAAATATTCATCATTGCTTTATGAATTTTGATTGCAAGTGGAAATAAAAAATAAAATAATATTTATTTGTATTTCAGAATATTACGCTAGTAATTGTCGTTATTGCGCATAGCACGTAGGTACTTTAAACTGTCACACACCCACACGTGTTACGTGGATATGTTCATCAAATGGATATTTTAGTATCTAGAACATGATTTTCCATTTTTACTAACGTTACCCTGATTGTTCGTCTCTGGAAAAAGCACATTGCACACGGACCTTTCGTTTTATCGAGATTCAGATCATCCATATCGTGTTAACCGATAACGTATAAATTAAGTTCACGTCTGTTGCTCCAATATATCCGGAAGGACAACAAATAAAACTTTTCCTTATCATTCTCATCGGTAGCTCATGCGTAAAATGGAATATGAAAAAGAAAATAGTAGCGTATTTTAATTATTTATTTATCACGCATATAAAGTAGATCAAATATAAACTGCTATCATAGGATTAATGAAAGATAATTGTAAATGTCAATATAAATAAAATAAATATTTCGAATATATTTAAACAATGCTTGCTTTTGTTGCAATAATATTAAAAATGTTGTTTGGAAATGAAAATTAGTACAGCATGATCAATTAGCCTATAACAGTTTAATCGAATACGGTTTAGTGTAGCATATGTAGTAGTTCTAACGTACGAGTGGCATACGTAATGCGTGGTCGCGCTACCTTCGAAATCGTCTGTTCTTTCGTTAAGACAACATGCACGTATAGCAAATCACGATACATACGGATTTCACTATTGAGACGTTTCATTAACATTGACCTCATTTACCATGACCATGATTTTATTGACGAATGGTACGGAATAACGCCGCTCTTTCCATTGAACATAAGGACATTTTTGGGGACATTGCTTCTGCGCGCGTTATCAGTTGTGTGTGAGCTTTTAAGTTTTTCGTATTCTTGATATTTCTAATAGTACTTGAGTTGACAATGACCAGAAGTCCACAAGCTCAACTATATTAACAAGATGTTTCCTGAATAAAACAATGGCAGCGATACTGAGAAAGAAAGAGAAAAACTCGTGAATCATCTCTTGTGCACCAATTATACGATTAGCTTCTATGCCTCTACAAAGTAACGCTCTTTCAATCGTGCATTTTTTCCCTTTCTTCATACACCGATCAATCATTAGTTTGTGAAATAACTTTTCCCACCAAGCTTAAACTTTCAGTGACGCAAGGAACACGAACAAAAAGAGAGAGTAAACCGCCCAATAAATGTGAACAAAACCATTCGAAAGTATAAAACCATAAAACCCTGACTGATTGTTTCATTGTTTCATTTTTCACAAATGAACGAATTCGTATATAGGAAAACGTAGACCAGTAGTTGAAACACATTTAAAAATATGAAGCTTTGAGCGTTATCAGCGGACCAATCGGAAAAACGCCAAGATGTCTGCGTTGAATATCATCGCACAAGACTAAAATAGAAAAAAATGACGGACAACTCTATTCGGTCGCTATCTGCTCGAAGTAGCTTAGCCACGCTAGAGGCAGATTCCCGTATCGCGGAGATCGAAGAGAAGAGCGGCGAGAGGAGAGCGGCAGCGCGGTGATAAGGTGTACGGTCAGTAGGATAGCGCGCGTATACGCACGTGGAGGGATGTACATAAGTGTATAGGTGATTACGCGCGACTCGTTATTCGGCGCCCGATCAAGCGCTCGGCACACACAGATCGATCGTCCAGGTTATAGTGTCTCGCCGAAGGAGTGCGCTCTTCCGGTCGCGGTGCTTCTTCATTTGCTACCGAGTGGGTTGCGTGTACCTCTGCTTGCAGGTCTGTTGATTATCGTTTCTTCCATTCGTAATCTGTTTCTACTGATTACTTGATTTATTGTACCTTTGATTGGTGGGGACTGCTTTCATGACTAGGAACTGTCCGCTTCTAATCTTGACCATTGTGAAAGTCACTGACAATGCATTATTTTTCACGTTCACAACACATTTCTTCAATTGTCTCACAACAATTCCCCAACGTTGTTATTTCTTTGATGAACATATTAAAGTATTTTAAAAGATAGCTTATCGCAATTAAAAGCACATACGTCAGAAGTAAAATTAGTGAAAAATGTAAAATATATTTTATTTAATTACAACTCAATTCACAATGATCGTTAAATGTCATAAGGAAAACAGGTTATTATTTATTAATGCTTGCTTGCGGCTAAAACATTCAACTCCAACTAAAAACAAGTGATATGATGTCTCCGTGTTAAAATAATTTTAATCTACCGCATGTTGACCAACGAATGATTTACGATTTATTCGTGTGTGTTTGAAAATCGATATAAAAAATAAGAAAAAAGAGTTTTATCCTATACAACCTTTTAATTTATAGATTTTAATTATATAGTTTTGTAAAAAAAAGAAAATATTATGTTTTCATTATCTGCTGTTTTCTTGTAGCTACATTAAACTTTTCAACAACATTATCTTCCAATTTTCACTTTTCTTTATACTCTAGGAAAGAGGAGGAACGACAAAAATTACAGTAGCTTTTTCGTTATTTCCATACAAATAACTTCTTCGAAAGAAAGAATACGTCAGAAGCTGTTGCGAGTATCTAAAAATAGTAAATTTATTGGAACTTTCGATAATGGTTAAAAATTAAAAAAAAAAATAAATAGGGATATCAAAGTAATAATAGCGAATCGCCGCAACCTATCAAAATAAAAAGAAAAATCTCATCGTTAATTCAAATGATCTTTGACGTTCACAGCGCTTTTTTATTTTATTGAATCTTATTAGAAACGAAATGCTATATACTCACACGAGAATAACGCACACGTAACACGAATGAGTGTATAGGTATATGTACATCGTGTACGAGGCTATGAGGGCCCATTATACGAATGGTGCCTAGCTCCGGATGCTCGTAACGAGTGCTTTGATAGTCATCCCGTGCAAGGACCCACGACGCTTCTATGCTGTCCACACGCAATTACAACTCGAAACTCTTCTTTCCTTCTATTTTTCTATCACTTAGTCAGGTAGATGATCTACGCCTTTTCCAATGGTCGTATATGGGCTTTGTCATGATTTCATCTCGATTGCAATTGACGATTACTTACTGAGTGTCGTATTTTAGCTTATTTGATGCTGATTTTCATGATGAGATTTTTTGAGATTCAAGAAGCATTGTATATATTTCATTTATCGGCGGTTAGAATCTACGCAAAAGAATATTTGGAAATTTCAGAATTTAGCTTTAATACGTCGTGAACATCTGAAAAATAGCTAAATTGATTTTAAAGCTACATTCACTACTATTTCAATCTCTGTTTGATATTAGAGTATATAATGAACTTGAAAAATTGTATTGTATACACAATGGTACACACATATTCGAAAAAAATATTGAATTTATCAGTCATAGGAATGTATAGCAAATACGCTCAATATATATGCCGTCAAATGAATTCAGCAATGACCAAAAATTTGCAAAGTTGAATACCAAAAGATTACATTATAAATATTCGACGGAAATGCAAGTTCTAGAATATTGTAATTTGAAATCAATTTCATAGCTTATCCTTTCGAATATCATTGTAGCGAGTAGGAAGAAAGAATTTGAAAAATCCTCTGATCAATAAACGTAACAATAGCAATCGTTAGTGGCATTGCGTCATTATCGCACAGATTTGATACGACTTCGTGATATGCACATACGACTATATCGTTAAGCGTGATTTATGTAGAACAAAACGATCCTAATCAATTAGTAATGGCAAATTAATTGTAACCATACAAGGAAGACTGAAATTTATGTTCAAAATGTTCGGAAATAATATTAATGTACAGTTTGAGAATAAAGCCGAAGTTTTGAAATATAAATGTGAATTAAATGTTTATATATTTCATAATCGATTTTCCTGTTGCTTAAGTTTTGCTGTTAGACGTAGGTCAATTTGTTATAATGGTGCAATAAGTGCAGTTGATGTTATGTTTTTTTTTCATTTTGTCGTTAAGATAATTTTTCGCGTAGCCAAGGTAACAATGCCGTAATTCATTAATATTTAAATGTATGCAAATACAACGAATTTCAAATGCAAGCTAGTATAAAAACGTAATTGCTCGATCGCTAATAAATTATTGAGTTTTTTTTTATTTGAACGCTGTAAATACGCGACTTTATCAATTCAGTCAGTAGTGTTCAATGGAATAGTCGGAAAAATATAGCTGCACAAAAGAAAACAACTGACTCAACAGCTCTAGAGTCTTTTGTCCCTTATCTTCGTTTTCCAAAATCTTCCGTCATTTAAAGCGTATTGACATATCTTCGTAGAGCATTGAGATCGTTCGCGCTTCATGCTAGATTGTCCGCGTCCGCGCCCATTGAAATGAGCGAAGCCGTAGGAATCGAGTCCGGCTGGTCTGGCGCGAAAATTTTCGAAAAAACAGTCAGCGCGATCTAAGCGCGTTATGTACATATATATATATATATATATATATACCGTTCGGTCGCCGCGGCGCGCTCAGCTCGCTCGACTTTGCGATGTTTGTACGTTTCAGTAGGCCGTCGGCGGCAGAACCGCATTGATATTATCACATCGCCGGCGTCCACGCGAGCCATGCTTAACGCGAGGTTCGTTGGATTCATCATTCTCGTCGTTTGTCGTTCGTCGGCTTCGCGCTATAGCTGCTGTACCGCGGCAGCAATGCAAAAGTTCTCATCTCAATAATACGATATGTATAGCTTGAGCAATTATCGCCGTGGCTGAGGCTTGGTGTAGTTTCGGACAGTGTATTTTCGAAATATGTGGTTTATATCGCGTCCACACGTGCGGTCAATATAAAAAAAGAAAGAAAAAGATTCAAGAAGACCGTTGCGTTACAAAGCTGAGCTTTTCAGCGACGAATAATGATTAGAGTTAGTGACAGATATAAATAATGTTTAATTATGGTATATACCGTGCGATGGTGGCCGTTAATGCTTCTTAATAGAATAAGTGACACTGATTCCATTGACACTCATGCCGACGATTGTAGGCAGTGTAAAACGCTGGTGAATTATCATTTCGCTGCACGTTTTATTTATTTTACAAAACTCTACGGTGTATATTAGCCACATGTATCAACATCGGAAATTTATTGGCTGTCTTGATCGTCCGTAGATTAAAATGAACGAGAGAAATTTAGTCTACAATTGAAATAAAACCTTATTTTCGCCGGTATTATACGTTGTGATTGAATCGCGAGTGACTCGGTTAAAAATCTATTTAAGAGTTGCCCATCATTAAATTAGGCAGATTAATTGGAAAACGGTTTCATGTACGAATACTCATCGGCGAATCGTGAATGGAACGACTGCGAGAATGCAACGCATGTAAATACCTCCAAAGTCAATGTCAATGTTCCGTTGAACGCCATGCTACACTGTAATTCTAATAGTTCAACGTGTTGCGTAAGGAATTTTATGTAATGCAAATTGAACATTATTTTTTTAACATGTGTAATTTAATTTGGATTTCTCGTGAATATAATATATTCAACGACCGACAAGTTGATTTAGCCTGTCGTTAAATATTTTACGTTTCGGATTCCCAGCGGTAATTCGATTAATTTTATTTCTCTTGATATCGTAATAATCGTAAACGCGCAAATAAAACGATGCATTGCGATGTGATTCGACACCACCTTTAATATACACCTGAATTTCACAAGCTCAAGCAAATCACACTCGAATCAGAGCTTCATCTTGACTTCATTTCTTTGCATTATACGCTATGCTATATTATACGCTGTCATCTTGACTTTTTTTGCATTATACGCTATGCCGGGCGCGATTCATCCTAGACAGTGCTTGTAATCGTCATTTGTTTCACGCGCTCGCTCTCATTTATTCCCAACGTACGCGCGGATTCAGCTAGATAAATTTTGCGCGCAAGAAATGCGAAACGCACCGATCGGACAAAGTTCGGATTCAATTCTAAATTACCTAAGCATACGACATGTATTTTTGTTCGCAGCAGGTATCTGCTCAAGAGATAGATGCTGGTAGCAGAGCGGTGATAGGCCGAAAGAACGGTAAACTCCGCGCGTGTGTGCGCGCGCGCGCGCGCGCGTGTGTGTGCATAAGCAGAGGCGCAGCTGAAAGAAAGAGGCGGGCGAGATGGCCGTGAAAGAGTGGTTTAGGAGGCTGCAACCGGTCCAGCTGTACATCGTGCTCTTCTTCACCATCGCATTTTTCGCCGTGGAGCTGATCGCCAGTTATGTCACCCACGCGCTCACCCTACTCATGAACGCTTATCACATGCTCTGCAACATCGTCGCCCTCGTTGGCTGCATTGCCACGATTAAGGTGAGTTACAACTTCCGCGGATTCTGTTACATGAACAGCTCAAGCTATTTCGATTCGCGGCACACATATGCAAGTTGATTAATTGAGAACGATTCCATTGATGATCATTGGAACTCAAAGAAAAAAAGAATACGAGGAACTTTTAATCTTATTTATCAATTCTAATTCGTCTCGTGCGCGATACATACCTTTCTTATTGCGACGACTCGGTTGACCTAATGAGAATAGAAAATCTTTTATTTTATCGGCTAATAATGTCGCACTAAACCTGATAATAAATTATTCGTAAGGATATTGCCTACAGCAATTTCAAATAACAGTGTATCACCAATTTGTCGTTAAACATTTTTCATTTTGAAATTAATTAAAAAGCTAAAAGAATGTAGCACATTTAGCGTGGCTCGGTAGTGGACTGTCAGTCTTGTAACCATCATCGAAAAATATGACATGATTCGCGATTCGCACGTATGCGTCTCTCTCTCTCTCTCTCTCTCTCTCTCTTTCTCACGTTCGGCGTACTTTCACTACCGAGGGAATTGTTAACCGCGACTAGCCCGTTATTACGCCCTTTCTATTTTATAAAGTAATTTTCCAAGTGGGCACTCGTAACAGTAATCTTTCTGCGGATCTTTCTAGAAAACGTCATAGTATCTCGCGGGATTTCATTTTGCGCGATGCGTTATTTTAGAGTCGCATTAATTTTTCACAGCCGTTAAGACAATTGCCGTGCGTAATGAATTGAAGCTCTCGCTTCCTTGTTGCAAATCGCAACGCAGCGCAACTTTTGAAACTCAAGCTTGAGCCCATAGCCAAGTGCCAGACCGTTTGCAGCAATTTCGAGCCGAGGCGTTACGATAAAGAGCACATTTCCCATGATTTTTCAGTACGAGAGACAGCAAGCTCAAAGCCGCGAGAGCTCGTCGAACTCGCTGAAAGCATCGTCCAACGCTCCGGAGGAAAGCGCTGTCATCCAGCAGACCGCGAAAAAGTCAAAGGTAGACGATTTTCCAGCATGTCTGTACGCCAGCGGTCTGGTACCACGGATGCCAATCGGCTTACAATGCAATCCGTTCGATTCGCAGCAAACGAGCTCGGAGAAGCGCATGAAAAACACGTTCGGCTGGGCGCGAATCGACATCGTTACGATGCTGATATGCTGCGTGCTTCTCGCCTCGTTCTGCTTCTCACTGATGGTCGAGGCGCTTCAAACTTTGGTGCACATCGATCACCTGGACGAAATGCACCACCCGCTGCCGATCATGACGATCGGCGCTTCTGGCATATTGCTCAATGCCTTTTGTTACTTCCTCATCGGCGGTTATACCTTTAACCAAGGAGTCTTTCTGCACTTCACGAAGAACGGCGAGATCGTTCTCAAAAGGTAAGCTCGCCTCGGGTTTTTCAGCAAAAGACGACATTGCTCAATTCATAATGAAAAATGGGCCCGATAATTCGTTGCTAGTCCTAAAAAATATGAATAATTTCCTGTTGATTTTTTTCGCCGAATGCAGCGGAATCGCACAGCTTTATTTTTATAGCGTCATCGCTTTATCGTTGCTGTTATTGTAGACCTGACCATTGTCTTTATTTCATTGCTTTATCGAAAGATTACATTATATGCTTTTCAAACGTGGTATTAGAAACGTAGTTTCTTTTTTTTTAAGTCTGTATCCATAAAAAATTTTGGAAGTAAATTCAAATTATAAGAAAAAATAGCGTTATTTTTAGAAAATTAAATCGTTTCTAATGCTCGTACAAAATGCTCGAATAGCTGGCTTAAATGTAGTAGATATATCTGAGCCATTCTCGACTGGCATAACTAATAGTATAGAAATACCTACTCTGTATATAACCGGTTACCTCCTGAAAACGAACAGCTTTGTTAATTCAAAGTAATTTCCAAGTTTTTTTTACTATTTTTATCAATAACATTCTCATACTAATTTATAAGTCAATTTCCGTCAATCGAATTAAAGCCATACGTCTTATTAAAATCTTTTCACATTCAGTTCTTGAAAACAAACTGCTACAGCTTTTCCGTGACTTAAAAAGCTAGCTATTTTTTGTTGTTGAATACGAATTATCAATGAACATCACAACCAGTTCTGGAGACTTATCTGTAACTTGTTTTTCTTTTTTCACGTCTGCTTAATTCTAACTAAATGAATTTAAATAGCATAAATAAAGTAATACCAGGTTTGAAAACGATTGCAACGAATGATACTTTTCAGAACACTCAGCTTACAGACGTCGAAAGAGGGTAACAATAGCGATCAAACACGACGAAGCCCCATCACATTGCCAAGGAGTCAAGGAGTGCGCGAGATGTGCCGTGACGTTCTCGGTTGTTTTCTGGTGATGATCGCGTCTTGCGTCGTCTATTTCACAGACAGGCAGATAGCCAAGTACGTCGATCCCATATTCGCCATGATCTCGGCTATTTCGCTATTTGTTCTCAGTTACCCGTACAGTAAGTGTGACGTTGACCGAAAAAGAAAAAATATTACAATTCGATTGAAAGCTCTTGAAAAAATGAAGATTTTGTTTCGCAGTGAAGGAATCAGGCATGATACTTCTGCAGACCATACCTAATCACATAAACATCGACTCCCTGCAAAAAGAGCTCCTCGCGGCTTTTCCCGATATCATGAATGTGCATGACTTGCACGTATGGCAGCTCAATGGGGAGAAAGTCGTATCGACTGTCCATATCATTTACGCCGATGCTACGGTATGTCATCAAAACAATGCCCGAGTGGGACATAAAAAAATCAACAGCGCATAGCGGTGAACGGAGAATACATTGTTTCTTTTTTTTTCTTTTGCAGGTATGCGCGAGAATTACTGACGAAATAACTGCCTTTTTCATCGAAATGGGTATAACGCACGTGACCATTCAGCCAGAATTCTGCACGGTAAGCCAATAGGTTGCTATGAAACGATCTTCTCACATGTACAATCCACTGATGATTTTTGGCATTTGGCGCAGATTGCACCGCACGTGGGTCCAAACACAAACTGCTTGATCCGATGCCAAAGCAAACACTGTAGCGCCTCAACCTGTTGCTCTCGAGACGAGCTTGACGATCACCATCACCATCATCACCACCGACCAATAGTCAGTAAAAAGTTCGGTTCTAAGGAGGTTTTACCGACAGCCTCAAGTGTGAATTTGAAGAGATTCAGTCTTAATATCACCGAAGTCAACGAGACGTCGATTTGCCGAGCTCAATCGGTGACGAACCTCAAGCAACTCAGTACAAGTGACTTGACGGTCGAAGTGACGAGTAAGGCTCTGCGACAGATCGATGATATTGTGATAAGCGCAAAGTCCAACGAGGAGCTGACAATAACGGAATGCCAGAAGAAAGGAAGCCATGAACGATCATGAGTGCGAATTGTAAATATAGGTTATCTTTTTTTATACATACCAAGAAGACTGGATGCTAGTATTAGTTCATAAGTAGCAGTCGAGAGTGTTTTTTTTTCTTTTGTACAAAATGCCGCGCACGGTCGTTGGTTATATTATTGTATTCGAGACAACGTTTAGTGTCAATGATAGTCGAATTTTTAAAAGTAAAACTGAGATTGAAATGTTCAATGCAGTAATTTTTAATATAATACAATATCTATTTGTACAAGACAATGTCTTTGCACGATCGACTATCTAACTTTTTGTAAGACAATACTACAATTTGTTCATATTTACAAATGGAAACTTGTTACAACTGTCGCTTCAGAGCATTCTGATTTTAACAATCTTATTTGAAACCCAAAAATTCAGATTGAATATTTTTTATAAATAAAAATAAAAATGTTTTGCGCTATGCCAATTTCTGAGAATCTTGCAATTAATTTGTCGAAGACAATAAAATAATGATGTTTCACACTTGTAAAATAATTGATTACGCTCGCTTTAGTGTCTTCGTGGAATACTCTGAAATGCGTAAGACACTTGAAAATTAGGACATTGCAAAAAGAAACAAATAGATGGATTAAATTGCTATAATCTTATCTTTTGGACATGTATATCGATTGCAACCATCGAAATAAGATAAAATTTTTCGTGCTTTGAAAGTTTACCTTGAATTTTTTACACTCATTTTATATACCTATGGATTCTACATTGAATTGGAATATCTCCAATAAAAATGTTTTTATTACAACTTATACTTTTTAATTCTAAATTGATTAATATTTTCTTAATTTAATTGAAATTTCAAGAATTTGTATTTACAATAAATTTAGTTTAGATTATCTACTAGGAAACAATAATTATATTTCACAATTTAGAACTAATTGTTGAAGTGCGATAAAGTATAATAGCATATCAGCGGTTAGATTGACAAGGAAACAAAGATAAAAAGTCATTTTCTAACAAGACGATAAGGTCTCTGTTTTTTTTTGTACAGCCATTCGCAACAACCAATCGTAATTCAAATAATGTCTTGAAACGAACGTCTGTGTGTGAATATATACGTAATGCCTGTCATGTTGGCATACGTGAAAGACACAGCTTATAACCTAACCCTCGTCATCATTCCGATGTCCGTCCTCGGTTCCATGATTGTACACATACACACACATGTTTTACACCCGCACACTATAAAAAGTTTGTTGCTGCATTCTTTCTACTTCCTTTTAATCGTGTGCGCTGTTAAGAGTATGAAATCTCTCAAGACTTGATGTCGATGAGCATCTATAATAGAAGGTAAGAGTTAAAACACTACATAAAAGAACATTTACTTCCTCTCTGTCTTTCATCTGCTACATTTTTCTCACGTTCGTCTAACCTTAAAGAATGATTTGTCGCGCGTATGATTCAATTAGCGTATGATGTATATATTTCTTTCTAGGTATCTCTCTTTCTTCCTCTCTCTCTCTCTCTCTCTCTCTCTCTGCGGGAGACTCCATTGAGTCGATGTGTGTGCGCGCTCGCAAGAAAACAATGAGAGCCTTGTTTGCAAATGGCATCTTGGCGTAAAGGAACAAGCGGCGACATCACCTTGGCAAGGAACTCATTGGAAGGATGGGTGTGATGCTTTTAGCAAAATAACGAATCCTGAGTTCCATCCCCGTTAATCTGTGCCAATAGTATTGGTAACGTCTTGCACATGTATATGTAAATATTGTGCCTGCTTTGTATATATTTTTTTACGATCCTTTTGTCGTGGTGAAGCTTTTACTTGTGTGAAAAATGAGTCTGAATCTTGTTAAGTTTTTCTCCAAAAAGAAACATCATAGCTCGCAAACGAACGACACAGTGGGAGAGATTGGCTTGCCCACTAATGTTTCTCATCAATTTCATGTGAGTAAAAACGCCCAGACAGGTCAATTGGAGGGCTTACCAGATTCTTGGATTCGTCTGCTTAACACACAAATTACAAAGTCTGAACAGAATGAACATCCTGCGGCAGCTCTACAAGCCATTAAATTTTATAATTATTCCATTAAGAAAAAACCGACACCACAGGAAGAAGTATTTAAGCCTTTTGTTACAGAAGATGTCATTGAAGAAGAATCCATAGAAATTGATAAAATTTTAGCTAAGAAATGCAAAGCATCTAGAGATTCGGATGGATCAACATCTGCCAGTTCCACAGATAGTCAATTGCATAGGCTACCACCTGATCTTCCTCCTAAAATCAAGAAGCCACCAAAACCAGCTCCTAGAACTTTCGTGGAGCGCAAAGAGAAAACATTTACAGAGATTCTTGAGGATCTTGACAACTGTCAAATAGAAGATTATGATCAGTTACCGCAAGACAGCAATGGAAATAGTAGACCAGTGGAAAACAATGTGGTTTTGCACGAAGAAAGTCCAGTACTTAGAAGAAAAACCAATAGCTCAGCTCCTTCAATGAGTGACGAAGAAATTTATGAAGAGCTTCGAAATATATGTCAACCTGATGATCCACAATTAAGATTTGAAAGAAGCAAAGAGGTTGGAGCTGGTTCTTCTGGCACAGTATTCATAGCTACAGATTTGTCGAATAATCAAAGAGTAGCTATTAAGGATATTGATTTAGCAAAACAGCCTAAAAAAGAATTAATGCTGACAGAAATCAAAATTTTAAAAGGCTTCAGACACCCAAATTTGGTAAACTTTTTAAACTCATATCTAGTCGATGATCATCTATGGGTGGTAATGGAATTATTAGAAGGTGGTCCACTAACAGACGTTGTAACAGAAACTGTGATGAAAGAAGCTCAAATAGCTGCTGTTTGTCGTGAAGTTCTCAAAGCAATAAGTTTTTTGCACTCTAAAGGAATAATTCATAGAGATATTAAATCAGACAATGTTCTATTAGGGATGAATGGAGCTGTAAAAGTAACAGACTTTGGATTTTGTGCTAATATTGTTGGAGATGAGAAGCGACAAACAATGGTAGGAACGCCTTATTGGATGGCTCCTGAAGTAGTTACAAGAAAACAGTATGGAAAAAAAGTTGATATTTGGTCTTTAGGAATTATGGCTATTGAAATGATTGAAGGTGAACCACCTTATATGAAAGAAACCCCATTAAGAGCATTATATTTGATAGCAGCTGTTGGTAAACCTCAAATACCGAGTTGGGATACTCTTAGTCCAAACTTTCAAAACTTTCTGGAAAGGTGTCTGGCTGTTGAAGTTGATGAGAGAGCAACAGCAGATGAGTTATTAGTACATCCTTTCCTCGATAATTGTGCAGAGCTTATTACTTTAAGTCCATTAATTCGTGCTGCACAAAAGATTTTGCACAAAGTTTATTAAATTTTATGATATGCTTCAATTTATCAACTTTATTCTGAATTTTGAACAGGTTTATAATAGCCTAGAACAGTATATACTATATTGTGAACAAATGTTTTGATTCTAACCCATCATTCTTTGTTGAACTAGGATTGACAGTTTTAAAACTATTATTTAAAACTCTGCTATTTAATTAAGATTTCTAAATTTTACAAAAAGGTTATCAATGATATGAGTGATTTTATGAATTGTATATTAATAATTTTAGACAATATCACTCATGAAAGCAATATATTAAATGATGTAACATTCCTGGAAAAGTCTGAAAGAGTGTAATTTTGTAGGATCCAATACTTCATTAGTAATTTTTAAGTTCACAAATATCAGAAATCAAGCTTATGTAGTCTTATAAATGTAAAGTACCGTACTTATTTTTAAAATTTTAAATCAAAATTTAAATTTTTATAAAAAAAAAAGAGTATACAATGTGCGAGATTTAAAAGCTTTAACCATTGAAGAGATGTATTACAGGAAGTATTATACGTGGTACAGAAGACTAAGCATTAAAGTGCTCAATTTTATATATTTTATAATGAACTTTCATATGAATTTACCAAACTTTTGTAAAAATGTACGCATGTGTATGTCATTTGTGTGAATTATAAATTGTCATGTGCCTAAAGAGCATATAATTGCTCAATGATATTCAACCATATTACTATAAGCTAAATAGTAAGATGTATATATGAATGTATATTATTTAATAAAAATATCAAACAACTTTAACCAATTACAAATTACTTTCTTAATTTTATAACACATTATCAACAACAATAAACCAGATATGAACAATAAATACTTTATTTACAAGGTGATTTCGTGATTCAACACTACAGCGCCTTGGTAATTAACATTGTATATTAATTACTTCTTTATTCAGTTCTCCAGATAATATGGCATTTACACAATATAAATTGTCAAATTGGATCTGATTTCATTGTTAAAACGTGCAATAAAAGCGATTACTACGCTTTAATTTATTTAAAATAACAGTTTTGAAGTACATTTTTTGTAAGTAAAGATCATTATTATTAACAAATATTCTATAATATGTCTAAGTATTGATATTTTACGATCATCAATAAATATAGACATCTGTCCCATAGAACTTAATTTCAGCTAACGGCATTCCAATAACCATGTCCTAATTATCACTTGAACGCGATTTATTTTTTTTTAATGTCCAAGATCACTCGTAAACATGACCCTTTCTATTATTCGAGCAAAAGAAGTTAATTTTTTTGTATTGTACGGCAAAACCAAATCACATTCGCTCCGATGCATTATTTTTTATAACAATAACAAGCTTTCATACACCATCGTTGTGACATTTTCTAAATAAGTTTCATGAATTCTGTACAGTCGATTGTATTTCGAGGCAGTTTAGACATTGTTTCCGTCGCTGAAATAAAAATAGTTATCTATTAAGACATATATTACAAAATTATTTAATTTATAAAGCTAAGTTCATAAATAGTTAAATTAACATTACATCAATTTGACGAGTATTTTTCTTAATTTAAATTTGAAAAACATGACTCATTTATAAATCATATTGTGGAATATATTAATAACCCGATATGAAATCACGTTCTCCTGTAAAACTTTCGTAAGAATAATTATGATAGTGGTTCTTACTTCGATTCGCCAAATGGTGATTCATTCGCGTCGATGTCTAAGTGTCTGAGACCTTCCTATAGTAAGGAAAGTTGGATCTTGCAACATAGCTTGTAGCACCGCAAGAAAATCAGCAGCTTGATCTTCATCAATTGCTCTCCTGTCATATGATAACGTTACAGTCATGACGGTAGACTTCTTCAACGAAACATCTAAAAAAGTGAAATAAAGTTTTGTAATATTAAATCATATAAATATGGAATAGGCTAATGCAATTTCAATTTATTACCGAGAATTTCACGACCGGTTCCAACAGCGAGAATTGCGGTCTGAGGTGGATTAATGATGGCACAAAAATCTCTGATACCAAACATTCCGAGATTTGAAATTCTAAAATAAATTGATGATCATAAAATTAATTAATTTAGAACTGACAAAATGTGAAAATTATTTATAGAATAAAATAAACAACGTATTCTTGAATTCTTCTAGACTCAAGCATCAATGAAAATATTTATGGATATTAATATTTTCAATATTGCAGTAAGGAAGTTACAAATAATAAAATTTATTAAAATATCAACACACGTGAATGTTCCTCCTTGAAATTCTTGTGGTTGTAATTTTCCTTCTCTCGCTTTACCAGCTAGTGCTTTAACGTCATTGGAAATATCAGCTAATCCTTTAAATGCTGCATTGAAAACAATTGGCGTAATGAGACCCGTTGGCGTTGACACAGCAACAGAGATATCCACTTTTTGTTGCGGTATCACCTATAAAAGATATCAAAAAATTTAATTAACTTCTTGATAAAATGAGATTTATTCTACGGTTTGTAATTTACCTGCCCATTTTGATACAATGTATTAACATCTGGACATTCTAGAAGAGCATGTGCTGCAGCTTTTGTAATGAAGTCGTTTACCGATACTTTTACATTTTCCATACGTAATTTACTACGCACTTCATTAAGTTTGTCAATATTGATATCGATACTGGCATAGGAATGAGGAATACCACTCTAAAAACGTTATAAAACATTGTTACAACATATTGCAGTTATCACAAATATTTTTTTATAATTTAGATAATTGTTTATATTAACCTTGGATTCACCAAGTCTTTTAGCGATAACAGCTCGAATGTTCGATACAGGACCATCTGTGAATGTCGAAGGACCCCCTGACCACCTTGGTTTAGGTCCAGCTGTAGAACCTTTTGCAGCAGATGTTGGTGCTGCTTCAGATGGAGCGGATACTGACCAAAAATGAAATTTTTTAGAAATATCAAATAGCGTTGCGAACATTGAAATTTATGAAATTTCATTCTGGAACTCACGACTCTTAGGTCCAACTTTTTGAACGTTATTTGATTTGATGTAAGCTAGAACATCTTCTTTTAACAGACGATTAGGACGACCAGTTCCCTGGACAGAACCAGAGCTCAAACCATATTCTTCAAGTAATCTTTTTACTGCTAATCCATATACCCTTTAAATAAAATGAATAAGTAGAAGTGAATTATTGAAAGTTTTACCAACAAAAAATTTGATAAAAAAAATTATAATTGTAATTTATAAAAGTCTTACTGTCCACTTGGTGGTGGTTGATCTTTTTTTGTTGCACTTGCTGCTGGAGCAGCTGCAACTGCTGCTGCTGGAGATTCAGCATCAGTAGTAGTAGGGGCACCAGATCCTTGTTTCAACGATGAAGGAACAACTATTTTAGAAAGATCAAAATCCTTTTCTACAATGATGGCAATAAGATCTCCAACTTCGGCTTGTGATCCTTCAGGAGCTAAAATTTTAGCAAATACTGCCTCCTCTTCCATTTCAAAAGTCATGACAGCTTTATCTGTTTGAATATCTGCAATAGCATCACCAGCTTCAATGCTGTCACCTTCTTTTTTCAGCCATTTGACAATTGTTCCAGTTGTCATTGTTGGAGACAAAGATGGCATTGATACATTTGTTCTGAAAATAAGTGCATTATTATATTAGCATTATTATGTTAGTATCTAAAGTATTAATATGAAAATTGAGCATACTGTCCAGGTGGTGGTGCTTCAGGTGGTCCAGCTGTAGCTGCTGCAGATGGAGGTGAAGATGCTGCTGGTGCACCAGCAGCTGCTGCAGAAGCTTCAGAAGGCATTTCAACTGACTTCCAATCTTCATCAGTTTCAACTGTGAGTGCAATAAGCTCTCCAACTTTGACACTTTTTCCTTCAGCCACCTATAATAAACAAATTCAATGATATATACTGCAAACATTAGAAAAATGCATTATAAAATATAAAATGGTTATTTTAAAATTAGTGTTCTACTTACAATAATTTTTGCAAGTACACTTTCATCGTCGAATTCCAAAGTCATGACAGCTTTGTCGGTTTGAATATCTGCAATTGCATCTCCAGGAGCTATAGGATCACCTTCTTTCTTTAACCACTTTACAATTGTTCCATTTTCCATAGTAGGTGAAAGAGATGGCATCAGCAGCTCTTTCCCTTTTACTAAAACATAAATTTTGTTGGTAAACCATTTGTAAATAAACCTATTGAATAATAAACTTGGAAATTTCATAAAGATTTTAATTATCAGACATATATTAATCTTTATTTGCTTATAAATAAAAAGACTTTAACAAAAGTGATAAGATTTTAACAATCTTATAAATACAAAATATCAGTGAAATTATGTTGACAGTTTGTCTGTTTTCAAACTATGATTGCATAACTTAAACTATAACCATTTTCAACAAATAAAACGAAAAAATGAATTTAACTTATCCGAATAAAATAAATATAAAATTAGAGTGATCTAATAAATATAGAAAAATCAGATACAAAATTAGAATAACGTGACATTTAAGGACAAATTTATCAGTGAAACATAACCTCTTACCGTAAAGAAATTGAAAACAAATCGTTAAAGATAAGAACAATAACTTACCATCGAGGATCCAGCTGGTGTGAAAACATTGTCGCTGATACCTTGCGGGCAGAAAAACGCGTGGCACTACACGTTTAGCGTGTTTTACAGTAAAAAGCTTGATCCCGCATTTCATCATGTTCGCCATTTTTCAGACATCGGCGATGTACGCGAAGGACGAAAGCCCAGCTTCAGCTCGGAGGGAAAAATCAGACGACGAGGCACTTGTGCAGCAGACGATTCTCTATGCATTCGCGCATGTGCCGAGACTCATCACGCGAGCCGCTATCTAGTAATCTAAACTAAATTAAACTATCAAGCGACCTCTTCTTTTTCTTTCTGCTCTTTCAACGTTTTGTAGATTTGCTTCGCACATAATTTCTCGTCGAAACTACTTCATATTAACGCGGGCGAACATTTCTTGTTATTATATCGGTTCTCCAAAAGATTTTTGCGAGAGTCTAGGCGTAAAGAATTTTATTGAACAAAATGCTACGATTTGATTAATTGAGAAGAAACTACATTTTAATGCTTTTTGGCAGTTGATTAATTATAGACGAAAAAGAGAAACATGATGCAGTAAATAATGACTTTCTAGTTTTATGAGATCGTTGTTCTAAAACTTGATACAAGCAGGTTTTAGTAATATTTATTTATTAAACGATCAAGTGTTCGTTCAATATCGTTAATGAATATTTTTTTATTGATTATTGATGAACATTACCGTTTTTGCATAAATGCTATTAATTTGAAGAATTAATCACAGCATGCTTTTAATAATTTGTATTATCATGTTTGTATAAAATTACTTAGACAGACATTGCAGTTATTTTACATAAAATTATGAATATAAATTTAGTTGTTGAATAAATATCTACAATTTTTTTAGATATAAACTTTCTCTATATTCACAGAAAAAAGACTCACGTCCATTTGTGTGTATTTTTTTTAACTGCCCATTGGCTTAATTTCATGAAAACAGTCTTTAAATGCATTCATGTAATAGTATTTTATGAAAAAAACGAAAACGTTTATTTTTATATGTAAAACAAAATAATTTATTTGACAAACTTAGATTGCAGTGTTTTTTACATGTAAATAGATTATTTATACAATAACAGTTTTTGTCTAAGTTCATTCGTATCTATATACAATATTTTGTGAAAATAACGTTCGTCAAATTTATACTTAAAATTTTGTATAAAAATTAAGCTCAAGGCTTAGACTCTTATATCAATTGGAGTTTCAATTTATATTTTAATGTTTAAAAGTTCTATCACTGGAGGTAGTCGTCAGATATTGTTACTATTTTAACAATTATACTATCAAAAATAGTAGGGGATCTAAAATCACAGTGAGTCTCGACTTGCGCATTTACGGAAGTCATCATTATGTAAACCGGAACAGTATAAGCCTTAACTAAAATATAAATTGCGAGCGTTTTGTATGAAATCGAACAGACAATAATTCAATTATATGTACAAGTAGCACCTTATGATAAATATTTACAAATGTTTTATAAAAGTTCGATGATTTCTAAACATGATTATTGTCTACTTTTGGTATGATCTCTGTATGTATAATTTTTGCTGTACCAAAGCACAGTTCAATAAATTAAACTGACTATTTAGGAACCTTAGTTAACTACAAAACAATAAAATCTTACTTCCATAATTCAAATGATTTGAATAATTCAAACCATTTAAATTTTCTTGCTGATAGCTTATTCACTTGAAACACATAATGTAATACACTGAGTTGTTCTGAGTTGTTATATCTACTCATCTGTTCATAATTTTTGCAAATTATGTATTGGACTCGATATAAGACTCGATACAACTAAGAAAGGATTATTTTACAAATTTCAACTTCAAATGCATTTCGCACTTCTCACATTTTCTGTTTATAAATGTTGAAAATCTAATAAGATGATATTAAGTAAACGCATCAAAAGACCTTGTAATAATTAATAATTGCTATTGAACATTAATGGCACCAATCAGTCAATAGTAAAAGCCCATGGGTGTTCGACGTAGCCGTATTGTATGTCAGACAAATGTTTATGGAAAACTCGATGTATTGGCTCAGCTTGGTCAAGTGTTGGTAGATATAAATCTTGATCCATGTAAAGAATGTGAGATATTGGACTCACTACTACCGCTGTACCTGCGCCGAACAACTCTAACATCTAAAAAAAATTATTCTATTTGAGCAAGTATTTACAACAGTGCATCAATTCGAAATTTGAAAAAATATGTCATTTATTGCTTTTGCAGTTTCCTCATATATCATTTTAAATTGAAAAATATCGAATAGAGAAAGATATCTATGATTCCTATGTAAATTTACAATAATTTTTAAAAATATGTCTAAACTTTGATACTCGATAATATTTTTTTATGTTAATTAAAATTATTAAAATCAAAGTATAGTCGGTAAGAAAAACAAGTAATAGTTCAATTTTGCATTCCGTTATAAATGAATACGTAAATTAGGAAAATAACATTGTTGAATCCGGTGTATTCTAAGGTATAATTCTGACGATCCGCTTTAGTATTCGATACATTCATTTGATTTATCCGTGACATGAAATTTATCGGTTTCTAGCTGATAACTTGAATCAATTTTTAGTATTCCGTGAACGCGATTGTCATACAAAGAAGAACGTTGCGTAACTTTTGAACTTACCCTATTTTCCGATAATAGCCGGATAATTTCAGGCATTGTAATAACTCTTTCGGTGACTTTGAACTGGTTCCATTCTTTTGCCAACGCCAACATAGAATTCCTTGTTATTCCAGGTAGAATAAGACCACTCAATGGAGGTGTAATCAATTCTTTTTCTGAGAAAAATTAAGAATATAAAAACTATATTTTCACATCTTAAATACTTTCAATACTTTTTTCACGCGACAAAACTTACCTCCTTGATCATTGATGCAGAACAGGAATATATTCATAGCGCCAACCTCGGTCAATTGGTGATCGTCTCCATAGAGCCACAAAACTTGTTGACAACCCTTTTCGATTGCTTCTTTTTGTACATGAAGCGTTGGTCCGTAATTACTTCCCATTTTACGGTCACCGCAGCCACCTGGCCAAGCTCTCGTATATCGAGGGTCAGCGAGTAGAGAAACTCCCCGACTGGAACTGCTCTTGGTAAAGTAGGATCCGGATGGACTTAGAATTACATATAACAGAGCTGATTCCGATGCTGCCACACCCAAAGAAGGCTGAAATTTTTATGTAATTGGTTACAATCGATACTAGCGGAAAACTTCGTTTGCCCTTTAATTAATATGTCAAGGAAGAGATAACATTAACACAATTTTTTAAATACCACATCATGTAACGTTCATTTGCAGAGAAACTTGTTTTATGTTGTAAAATATTTTAGGGGTAAGAAAATGTGATTGTCAAGTTCGTCTATATATAAACTTATCTTCTTGGGACAAACTATTTTTCTCGTAAAAAGAAGAAAACCAGCATAGATATAATACACGCAAATTCGATTTCGAAATAAGCACGGCATCAAATTATTTTCTGTCTCATGTAAAGTAATGAGAAGACTTTGTAAAATGAAATAAAAGTCCAATGGAACGGAATAAACAATAAAAAGTATATATTGATCATATTATAGGCTCGCAAGTGCTTTAAAGTCTGCGCCTTAAGTGTCCCTCAAACCTCACGAGATAAGCGACGACTTTCTCGTTTTAATTTTTTCTTTTTGCTAGCTCTAGGGTTCAGATGAAGCGAGAGAGAAAAATTAAGCGAGTCCCGGAAGATTAATCAGCGAGTCCCGGAAGAGTAATCAGCGCAGCGAAATAGCCAAAAATTGCAGCGAAATTATCGCGTTGACAGTCCCACGCCTGTTTTTCCTTTTACTCCATCAACGCAGATTTGGGTAAAATATCCTCTCGAAAAGAAAGAAAAAAATTGAGAAAAGGTACTAGCATCAGCAGTCGGTTAGTTGCAACGATTCGGCTAGAAAGTAATGTCGACTCCTCACTCGTTGCCATTGTCTTTGAATTGTGACGCGCGAGTCATCCATCCAACCGCTGCACTGCTCGTCTGCGTACAGCACAATTTGATTGAATCATTATATATATGATGGGCATGTAATTTAGTCTATTAGTCTTTGTATCAGCCAACTCCCATAATGCGAAATGTATTGGTGTAGTACGATATTGATTAACAAGCGTTTTTGGTGTTGCACTCCACAATGCCGTGAAATAAATCATAATTGTTTGTTATAAATACATTTCATTTGCATAAATGCGTCGACGCCGATAAGTCGTAACGGAATGATGACTGCAGAGGAAAAGCAATTGTCGAACAACAACACTCTCGGTGCTTCTTTGTGCTGCGGCAAAAGAAATCGATAATGCTATTTTGCACTAGTAGTTACAATCAAAGGTTATAGTTTCTTCTGACAAAGATACACGAGTTATCTCACTGAGACTGACTTTTTCAATGATGTTTTCAATTCCAAGTTTCACAGCATATAGATACTCGCAATTGATAGCAGCGCAATCGTGGATGTTTTTGACAATTGAAAAAAAAAGTTCAATCTTTCATTTCGATCGATGTACTTCAATAATCAATCGATTCTCTAATATAAACGAAACGATAATGATAAAAATGAAATAACACACATGCGTCTGATTGTGCACACTATATTACGAATGTAGCGCGCGTTCGGAGCTCCGCCCCTGGCAAATGAAATATCACGCCACGAATTCTCGCATATTGTCTTATCAATATTGAGAAATTGGCTGATTAAGCGGCGGTAGCTAAAATTGATGCGCGGAGCCAATGGCGCTGATATAAGCGCGCGGCGTCCGGGTGTTGTAGCCGATCGATAATTATGAAATCACGTTCGCGTGCGCGCCTTTATTAATTTGTGTTCACCTTAGAATAGTTTTTTTTCTCTATTTAGAGTACTTACATCGATGCCTATCAACGTCGGTCTTATGTATAAACTCGAGGCTTCCGAATGTGGAACCCATTCTTTATCTATACTAATTAGCCTGTTGATGCATTTGATCAGCTCGTTCCCATTGAAAGTCGGCAGGCCAGACCTCACTGCCGAAGCATTCATTCTTTCCATATTCATTTCAGGCCTGAATAATCGTATTTTTCCATCTACACCTCTATAAGCTTTCATGCCCTCGAACAGCTGAAAAATTATTACATGTCATATCAGATATTTGGCAATTGTATCGCAATTTGTTACTGTGGTTGATGCGAATTTCCAATGTGTATTTATCATCCTAAGAACTTAGAAAGTAACCATTCTTACAAAACTTTCGCGATAAAATTTTTTTGCTTAAGCGCGATCTAATTTTTTTCCTTCATTTTTTTTCGATAAATTTAAAATTTGCGTCAGCAATAGAGATAACTTTGTTTAAAAAGCTCACACATGCGGTCCTTCTTGCAATATGTTTTTACAGGTGTTTTAAAATCAATTTATTTGAAGTGCAAAAGTAAGTAATCAAAATGATCAAGTTCAATAATGTGACCCTGAACGCACCTCTATAGCATAATGAAGAACTTTAGCTGCTGGATGTAGAACAAGATTTTCCAGTGGAGTGATTTCAGGAATTTGCCATCCACCAAGAGCCTCATGGTAGTATATTTTCAACATGTGATCAGTAAAATATTTACCAAATGCCAAGTCACTGACATTTGGTTTAGGCTGGACTTGACCTGGGGCAGCCAACCTGACTGATAAGTCTGCATACTGGAATACAATAATTACAATTTTATATAAATTGTCAAATACTTTAGACTTTATGATTGTTATCACTTATACTTTGAATGTCCTTTCTGGTTGTAAAATTTCCTTATCTTGAATTTTCAAGGAAGAATTCCATCGTACATTAGGCTGTAATTGATTCAAGAGGCTACTGAGAGATAAAAGCTGTAAATGAAATAAAATAATTTGTTGATTCAGTTCATTCAAACTAGTTGGATTTTTAGACAAACTAATAAACTAGACTCATCATAAATAAACGCACCTTTTGTCTATGATATACCATTTTTAAAGTCTCTACAAAGAAAATTTTTCATAGGTATTTGATTGAATAACAGAAAATTCATTTGGTCAAATATATAAATACGTACAAAAATTAATCTAGGGAGCCAACAGTGACTCAAGCAATCTAAATACTTGTTTTTCAAAATCAATAGAAGTCAGCACACATGACTAATACCTTTTTTACTTTCGATAGAATAAAATTAAGGTAACTTGTTACACAAACATAAAAGTCAACACTTGTTTGTATAAATTAAGATTTGTGCTGGTACATTCTATGTACGCACTTTCATTTCAAAAAATCCATCTGTTATCAATGACAGACTCCAATATAAAGAAAAGAGAAGATAATCAAATAGAATTTGAGTCTAGCCTAGAAGTTTCTATTTAAATAGCGTCTCGACACATCATGAACATTCATTTTAAAAATGCTTCGAAAATCCATAATATTTTTTCGTTTTCACAAATTTGCACACTGAATTAATCAAGACTCGGTCGTCATTAAAATACCAAATGGAAATAGTGGGGAAAATGCAACTTTGTTAAAAAGGCAATTTGGTTTTTTTTTCATGTGAATTTTTCATCGTGAGCGTTGTTGCGTAAGTGAAAGCCTTTTGTTCTACGCCTAAATATTTCCGTTTCACTATTTTCTATTTGTTTCTTGAGCCAACTGAACAAAACAACGATCCCGATGTCTTGACACTCTGAATTGATACGATTGTGCTGTTCAAAACAAAAAAAAAATAGAATAAAATAACCGATAAAATAGTAGCAATACAACAATAAATACGACTTTGTTTACGAATTCGATGCATTCGCGCTGCTGACACATGCGCGCACGTGCGGTGCTCAAGCTAGTATATAAGATAACGTCGAGTGAGGTTAGGTAACATGTGTGCGCGCGCGCGCGCGAACAGGATAAGGCATTTAAAAAATACGAAAAAACGAACGATGCAGCAGACAGCAATGACCTACCTTGCGTCTTAGCTGAACCATTACGAATTAGTTGAGCACTTGTTCTCTGAAAAACCGCCGACCAAACAGTTTTTGAGCAATATACGAGCAGCTTCGTAAAGCGAGACGATTTTCACACACAAGGCTATATCTCTTCACCTGAACTACCGCACCGTCGCTTCTTCTTTTTTTCTTCTTTTTCTTCGTCCGGCTAACGAATCCGCGCACTATTTTCTCTTCCTGAATTTTTATTCGCGGTTATTCAAAATCAGTCACAAATGAAAAATCCTTGGAATCATCGGGTCAATGAACTTATCCGCGAAACCACTCATCAAGCAACAAGAATCGTTCGTGCGCAGCACAACTGATGGACGACTGATATCACTGTAATCGTCGAAGAGGCGTTGCGCAACAATCGGCAAAAACAGAGAAGATTAGTTGCGGTGGGTGCCACGAGAGATAAAAGCCGGGATCTCGAAAGAACAAGAAAAAAAGAAGCGTGATACGCGCGAGCCGTCGCTACACTTGTGTCAATCGCGCTGCTCGGGTACTCCGCGAATAATGAATTTGAATGGAGGCATCGGCGGCTAATATTTTATTTATCAGCTTGAAGCCGCCGCCGCTCGTACGGCAGACTGCTTCCGAGGGAGGGGATGTTGGAGGCACGTCCCCCTCTTCCTTTCACTCTCGAAAAAAATCGCGTCGCACAGTATTTGGCGAATGGCGAGCTCGCGGCTCGAGCGGGAAAGAGACCGCGCGCATAGGGGAGGAAGAGAATCGCGACCTCGCGCTCGACCCCTTGCTCCTTCTGTTATCGACGTGACCACGTCAGAGTGCTCCCTCTCTCGCGTTGCTGCACTTTTCTGGCCGAGTGCGCGTTTGATAAAGAGAGACAGCGAAGAAAGACGCGATAAGGGGAAGAAAACCGAACTGATATCCAAAAAACACTAGAATTTAATCTCGATCGGTTTTTTTTTTCACATGCGGACGGACGTCTTTTATTATCAGAGGGCTGGTATCACTTGCAGCAGTTGCTCGATAAACAAACGGTTATTTGACCGCCGAAATGCCATTGTATAACCGAGTTCTAAAAACCGACTTATATTGGACAGGTAGTCGATTCCACCAATCTTCTTTCTCGTACGTAATACATCACGCGACTTTTGGTTTCGCTGCGTGAAAAATAAATCCCACGTGAAGATGAAATATGTGGCAACGAACGAGCCTCCAAAATCGTTATCGGTTAATCCAGTCTCTGTGGTGGTCCTATCGGAATATGCGATCGGCAATATTTAGATTAGATAAGCTAATGCATGTCAAAAAAACAATTGAATTACGTACGATTTCGGAGCAGCTGATATGCGAGCGTGTGCGAGAGGGTCATCTGCGAGCTGCCTTTCGATACGAAATATCAAAGTATTCTTGCAAAATTTAAGCTCGTAGATTGTTTCATTCGAACTGAAGGAACAATAATTTGACTTACCGACAAATAATACACCCGAGCACAGTTTTGCACGCGGATCAAAATTATTGATTCAAAATGGAGCGAAGAAAAACTTTGCGCTCGTGCACGATTTTTTGATAAACGCACCGAAGATATTATCTAAAGTTCGAGCGGCAGTATCATACGATGTATTTGTTTTCGAAAATAGACGTGTTTTCAGATCGCACGATTGCGACTGTCAGTCGAGCCTATTAGTTTTCTTTCGTTCATTGACGCATTTGCGCGCGACGAAAGTTTGCAGCGAACGATTGCGCGCGTCGAATCGCGTCCGAGATTTTTTCGCTCGGGGATTGTCTTATCGTGCGCGTATTCTTACCTCTTCGTCATGATTGCTCGACGGCAACCGGACAAGATCCAAGATCTACAACTCGAAAATCCGCAGCTTACCGTTGCGCTGTAGCACGGTGATATAGGGTCGATTGACGAAGGATTGGCTCGCGATCATCGGCGCGCTTTGCTTGCTATCGTCCACTACGTTTCAATTTGACGATACACGTGCCGATCGTCGTGACGCGCAAGCTTCCGTAGCCGTACAAATTCCGATCTGTCTTCTTAATCTCGAGTTTGAGAATTTCAGCTTCGCGGCGCCGTAAGGTCACGCATTCGCTGGCCAATCGCTAATCAGTCGTTTATTTGAGCATTGAAAAATCTCGCCTGGTCCAGGCTTCCGGTATCGGCACGGAGGCTCGGCACCCGACCGTCCTTGTTTTTCGGTGCCGGTTCGACCGGTTTCTTACATTTTCGAGCACCTACGTCGGGCTTATCTGCTTGATTTTTCGAAACGAAATTCTTCTTCGCAGACTGCAACCTTTTCGATTCTTGTCTTTGACTGCAGCCAACTGAATCGCTATTTCTCTTTGATTTATTCGCTTCAATTTGTTGAAAGCCACGATCCGGTGATCGCCCTCAAAACATTCACCATGATTACGGACAAAATTCTCTTCCAATTCAATCCTTTGGAGCATTTCACGTTCTCTTCACCGTCCTAGAGGTTTGATTTTGTCCGTGACTTTAAGGGGTGCAGAGGCCGAGGTGAAGTGCAATCGATGCAATTATTATCTACGCTTTGGCGCCGCTTGTGCGTCATTTTGATTCAGCAGGAAGACTTTAACCAACTAGAATATTTTGCTCAACGCTTCGATTACCTTTTCTTTCTCACGTTAGTAATGAAATCGCTATACGTGATTCTTTTAAAGTTAATATATTTACTGGACGATTACAAAGGGGGTTTACAATGAGAAACGAGAAGCCAGATGAAATGTCGAAATCGCAGGTAAAGTGTGCGGGAACTGTGAGTGCGATGCAAGCAGAACCACGGTCTAAACCGCACTGGCGTTTTCGTTTGGAACGACGCCCTTTAGAGCGCCCTGAGCGAAAAGCAACCGCTCGGAATATTTCGTCACGATGATACGATCCCCCTCGACGAAAATCCCGGCTGTTTTGGCTTGCCGTGAATTTCAGGTATTTAAGTGCCATTGTTTGGCGCATCCTGACGTAGGTATTTCGTTGCCGCGTCGTATAATTCGTCAGCTGTGTCGCACGTGCCGCAGCATTTTGCGCAGTGAAAACCGGCGTCCGCGCTCGTAAATTGGACGGCGTCTTGACCGCCCGCGAGGTCAGCAGCTGTTTTTCGCGCAGACGTGCCCTTTAAAATACAACGGACTTGGCGCGTCTCTTTCTCGTTGTTGAGCCATTGCAAACTTAATGCCAGCCAGATGAAACGAATTTTCGCAATAAGTCTTAATTTATTGCGGGAACTGATGTATTGGACGTTCGTAGACATATCATACGTCAGACATTTTTTAAAAATCAAGTGCTTTTGTCGGGGAGGATTTTTTCGTTGCTTACATCTACGATGTTTTCGCTGATAAGAATTACGCTGGATATGTTAGTTAGCGTTTACAATAGTTGCCACGATTGAGCGTGCGCAAGTTCCAGAACATGGCTATCGTATGATTAAAATCAACTGATGTGGCAAGCATAGCAACGAATCTTCGCCATGAGATTCTTTGATCGATTTATAAAAATATTCCACGTGTTAAATTCTCTAATAAATTACATTCGAAGACTGTCAGTTGACAGTTTTTACTTTTCTACTATATGAATGTTTCTGCTTCTGAATGAAATACACAGGAAGGGAATTATGAAGAGTGAACAGTGACGCACATTCAAAAATCACCTACGGTTTCGTAAAAGAAACTCAGAAAATTTGGTAAAACAATACGCATAAAAATGCGTAAACAATGCTCTGATGTCGGAACATCGTAAAATGAAATTCGGTGTCGCGGAGTCGGAGGAGAATAAAAGCCAAGCTCGGATTGCCAATCAAAATAGCATTTGCAAGTTTAAGACTTGGGTCACAATACTATTATAGTTTTTTTTTTTCGCACCGAAGTGCATATCCAAGGTTATCGACGCGCTGCTCTAAAAACACATTTATTCAGTTTACTTCTTTCCGAACGGCAAACGACTTTCAAATCCGTAATTTTTCTTAGAAAGGCGACGAGTCGCGCGATGGACTTCAAATCTAATACGAATTTTCGCAATTTTTAAAAAATACGCAGCGACTATTTTATGCAGATAACAGGCAAGAAAAAACACTAATAAAACGGTGGTTGCGTGTTATTGAGTCATTAAAATAACGCGGTAAAGCGCGAGAACGAGGCTGCTTCCAAAGAACAGATCGGAATAACAGCGTAAAAAGGCGACGTACCGGTAATTGTGGAACATCCGCGCTACGGCAGGCAAGTACCAACGTGCTGATAAAAATTCATTGTGCGAGATCGTCGAAAGAGAACGGAGAATGACGAAAGAACAGGTCTCGCGTTGAGGTGCGCAGCGAGTATATTTTCATCGCGCAACGTCGAAGCCGTTGTTCATCTCTCTTTTCTTCTTTTTTATTATTTCAAGCGTTTTCTATTCCCTCCGTGAGATCTGATCGCGCGGGTGCTCGCACGCGATTGGTCGGCTTGCATGCGCACGCGTGTTCGCGGCTTCTTGGCGCGCCATGTACGAGATAGAGTGACGCAAACGTTCGACTACGAATCGACCGTTGAATATTTTGCGCTTAAAAAAGTACGTTTCATTGAATTGCCATCGTGACGTTAACGTTCATTTTTCATTTTCTTGTTAATGATAAACATCGAGGTTGTCGCAATGCACTGGTTCATTTTCTTCGTTCCGACTGCGAAACGAGAATTCAAAAGTGGCATTAAGCGGACACGCAAAAATTTAAAAGAACATTCAATCATTTTCCAAGTCGAAGCTTAATACTAATTTGGAAGATACGAACGAAGAATTTACAAAAATGGCGCCATTATTTTACTCGGTGTAAATGGTATAACCGCGGCCTTCCGCCATGTGACTGAAATGTTTGATTATTATAGGTAGCAGGCGTGGAACTCTTTTCAAACGGCACTGTATCTCTGCATCTGGACTGGTCTGAATTCGTCTCAAAGGTGTCACAGAGGTAGTGCATGGATCGCTGGTATATAGGAAATAGGCAAGTAATGTTACTTATGTCAAGTTTCTCGAAGACCGTAATTGCCAAACAAGTCAAAATAGCGTTATCCTTTCCCTTAACATTATCGCCGGAGCATATCGTCGAGTGCCGTGCTTGTGGCTCACGCGAAGTTATGTCGTGCGAAGACGTACATACATATGCATGGTGTGCACTGTATAAAACAATCGTGCATACAACTATATCTCCCGAGGTTCGGGAGAGACGGAGCCGACGAATCTCACTCGAGTGCTGACGTCGATCTACCCAATGTTGCGAATGCAACCAGCACAGCCCTCTCGTTTGTTCTTCTCGCATCACGGCGTGCAAAACGCCAAACGACCATAACTGATCAATTAAGTTATTCTCGGACAATACGCTCGCGTTATTTTCCCTCGGACTTCGAGGACTTACTTGACAAAGTCAAGTAAAGCTGTTAGACCGACATTTTTGCGATTCACCATGGAAAACCGTTCCAGTTTGAGTCGATGGTGTGTAACACAAGTCTCAGTATCTCTGGATGAAATCAAGGGAATAAAGTCCTCGACAAATCGCACACCGAACATTATACTCGAGCCGCCGTACATTGCGATTTCACGATCGAAATGAAAAAATCTGTCTTCGTTTGAACGCAATGTTAAACTATAAGACACTGGCATTTAAATATTCAAGCAGTATATTCAAAAATTTATGAAAATTACAATGCTCATAATTTTTTTGATGTATTGCGTAAAGTCCAAAGTAATGAAATAAGTCATGATGAGATCATTTTTGCTCTCCTTCGTGTGAGAGAGCCACTCGCTGGTAAGACACTTGTTTTCAAATTGGGAGGTGGTCGTGGTCAGTGTTACAATTGTGTACAATTGTTAAATAATTATTAGCACTTGCCAATATAAAAATATAAAAATTAATCCCAGTCAGACATCATAGTCGGGTTTTTAATTTTTTTCTGAAGAAACGGCCCGACTGAACGCTTCCAAAACTAGTCGTACTTCTGAAAGCAAACATTATAGATAGTGATCGTTTTAAGCAACTAATTTTAAGTTTTGTCATTAGTAGCAAGTTACAACAGTATCTTCATTGATTATATACTTATAAACGTGAATAACAGGACTTAACATAAGTGTTTCATTTACTTTCTTATTACAATTCTTTAATCCGAATCTAATTTATTAGATTTCCAATAAAATATTTTGTATGAAACATCTTGTATCTTTAATTTAAGCCTTTATATTTCTCAGTTATGCATTAAAAACAGTATTAGTTGCAAATTAAAAGCTTAAATCGTGAAACGTGCCTTAAAGTTTACCTGAAAATAATCATTGCCGGTAACATTAAATATAAGTACATTAAAAACAGTTAAAATAAATTTCATAAAATGAGATAAAATAAGATATGTATTCGATGACTATTGGCTCTTTTATATTTGGAAAATTTCAGTAGTTCTGGTTTGAATTTAAAAAATATGATTATTGTTTATTGCGTGGAGAATTCATTTGAAAAAGGAATAATGGAAAATTAAACAAAATACCTTGATCTTCGAATGTTTTCAAAATCAAATTTTATGCACTCAGTACAAGGTAATCCATTACTTTATGTGGCTATACTTCCACACTTTCATTTTACCAATTCAATCAATACCCATTATTTTTCTATTAATCAAACTGTATGAAACTAATAAAAATACAAAAGCTGCAGAAATCGGCTTGGAAAATAACACATGCATAATCATTTCATTGTGAAATAAGTCATGTCATTGTGAAATTTATAAAATCCTGAATGATTTTATTCTGGATAAAAAGTTTACTTTTGTCAGTTTTTCTAATGCAAAATCAGTATTTCTTATCTCGTATTTTTAAGTAAAGATTTGAAAACCTTTGTTTTTCATTGATAAAGTATTATCATATTCTTGAGCTGTTCACAAGGTTGACGAATTTAAATAATCTAAAACATTTGTATGATTACTGTAGACATCTTTTATTGGTTTAATATAAAATTATAAAATTATAATTAATAAAACATGCCGCTGATAAACCATTTACAACGTAGAATCTGTATAAATGAATTCATTTGAGTAAAAAAAATTTTTAAACAATAAAATATATAATTTGAAATTTGTTTTAAAATAATATATACTTATGTACATTTTCATAAATTTGATTGAAAGAATAATGAAAACTGATGATTATATAACATGCATTTAAAGATAATCCACACATTACATACATCTTACATTTAAATATGAGTGTAAACGTAAGAAGATCTTATCTAAGCATTCATTTTTCAATCATTAAATATTGGAGTTACTCTCATGAGTAGTAAACTGACTGCATTTAAAAAAAATAGTCAATACACATAACGCTTTTATAAATACACAAAAGAGGCCTTGCAAGATTGTATTAAATTTGTCAGTATGATCCGACTTTGACTGATCAAACTCGCATCTTACTCATAACATACTTTACGTGAATCATAAATATCTATAATATTTAGCGATCGATATCACTTAACTACGCACATATATTTAAGGATAAATTAGTTTATATACATTTTCATGGTTTATAAAATTACTCGCATAACCGAGTATTCAAATTCAATCATGCTTATATGTTTAATACGAGTTGAGATTACGCTCATAGAGTATACATAGTTCATGCAATCTATAATTTGGATATTTTGAATCATGCAAGCTATAACGATGTCGTGTATTTGCACTTGTCGTAGAACTTGCACAAAGTATACAATACTATTTTCTATTTTGTTGAAATGATATTAATAAATTACAAAAGTTTTATGTTGTTATTTCTGTTGTTTTTAATAACCATGAATACTTTCATAAAAGTATAAGTAGGTGAATATTTCGAAGTTTATAATACAAATTAGCAAATCACAAAAAAACTAAGTATATCAGATTTCTTATAAAAAAAATGTGTATATGCATAATTTTGAATGTTGAGAAAGAGAGATTTTAATCCATAGTTGAGTATTTGTTCAATATAGAAAAGAACCATTATCTTGGCACCGCAAATTGATTCATTAATGGCAAGTACCAATAACAATATAAAAAGATGTGATAACTCGGTTACAGTAACAATGTGCTCAAAATGTAAATTCATTGTTCATCATACATAATGACTTATTACATAATTATCTCATTACTTCGTAAGTCTAGAATAACGAGCTTCCTGGCTATACATTTGTTTTATTATTATCATAGTATGATTTGATAATTATTCATATATAAGTCATTCATGCACTTGCAACATCATCGTGACTCATCTATTAAATTTAAAAAATGTAAGTCTATGGTGTTAGTTTTTTCTCCTAGCCTAGTGTAATGATCAAAATGCAATAATATCATTAAAATTCGATATTTGTTAATAATATGATAAACCGTCACGATTGTAAATCGAAACGTATCTCACTGAGATGATGGTAAGAAATTATGATTTTTTAAATGGTTAGACGACCTTGAGCATCAATAAATCACAGCATTTGGAAGGATAATTGCGAATACCGCTCTGAAATCCTTTCTATTATTATTCGCACCGATACGCCTTTAAAATTTTTTTTCTTCGTTGGCAAACGGAATGTTCTCTAAACATTTTGTTTTCAACAACTTATAACAGAACAAATTTTCGAATTATAAAATGAGTATCTTGGAAAATGAATTTTTTGATTAGGTACCTATTCCGACTAGGTTCAACGTGTCTTGCCTTCGATTACATGCACAAGATTTATTCTGGTGGATTCTCTGTAATATTTGCACTTTCTTCACTGATAGTTGTTAAATATCGGTTATTGTCCTGGGAGTCTTGGTCGTTATTCAAATCTAATCCAAGGCTCCTTTCAAGATTTTGTCGGGCCTGCTCCATTCTCTGGCGATTTTCAAGTATATCTTTGTGTTGATCAGCATTGATAAAATGTTTTTCATATCCGCCATACAAATCCTTATCCAACCCATTCCAATATCGACCAATTGTTGGGGATGCATCCGGTGAGCTATCAGAGAAGTCCCCTAGTGCTCCAAACATTGGAGAATTAGTTGGGTATGATAATGCTGGATACGTGATCGACCCAGACGAACCAAAATTTGGCAAAAACATCTTGTGATACTGATTATAACACGAGCCATCCTAAAGCACAGTTTCCAATATTAAATGGCGGATTTCAGATAGTATTTGTTAATGTTAAATTAATTTATCCAACATACCATGTTATAATGAGAAGTAAGAGCTACCTCAGATGGCCTTGATTTTACTCTACTTGGCTGAAAGACGCAAAGAAGTATCCAAGTTGGCACAAAATATTTTAGAATCACGAGGATCGCTAATATTGAGCTGTAGTACAATTCTGCATGATTGTAAATTCCACTGCAACCGCTTTCGTCTTTTCCGACTGTATAAATGAATCAAATTATTAATGAATAAACAAAATTACAATAACTGTCTATATAAGTTATTGTCATTTACTTAGGACCATAACTGCATCAAATACCACCGAAACTGCAGCCGAAATTTCGTAGACTGCAGTTACAAGCCATAAATCTCTCGTTTGAGATGAAGTTGCAGGCATCATCAGAGCTGATATAACTAACTGTCTATTGCTATGTGTAACATATAGAGCAATAATTGCAAACAGTTGGACTGCAATGAAATCTGCACTCGACAGCATCAGCCAGTAAGGTTCTACAAAACAAATAAGTATATAGTATATTTTTTAAATAACTTTAATAAACTATATAATTTACTTTTTGAATAAACTGTTTGTAAAGATTCTATTGATAAGTTTCATTTAAAATTAAATTACATTACACAATCAAAATTAAGATTAATTTATTTGAAATAGTTATGCACTACATACTAAAACATTCTGTCCAAGTTCCACTGATGTCAACCATACCCATCAAAACTACTGTTATGTAGTAGAGAGTATATAAACAAAGAATTGGATTGATCACATGTTGTACAATGTCATCTCTGTGTCGAGATCGTGCAGCTGTTGACCAATGTAGATGGCAAATTAAAATGAATTGGTAAAGTTTGAAGAAATTTGTGGCAAAATGCAGTTGTGGATATCGAACTCCAAATATAAAACTAGCTCCACTGTAAATAGAAAAAATAGTTAGTTTTAAATGATTTATATGAAATTCTAACAATATATAACATACTATAAATAAATAATATAATTAGGTAAGCAGGACAATATACTGGAAATCCACACTTAAAGTCTTATAGCTAAAGTGAACTAAATTGATATCAGGTGATTCTAATGAGCTTAGAAAAAAAAACAATTTCAAGTGTCATAGAACTAGTGTATGTATGGCTTCAATGTATCTAGCACACATATTTCAGAACTCTACATTTTCCACTAATTTAATTTAATATTTAAATATAATCATTTCTTTGTTACAAGACACTTTAGAGAACTTGCAATAATAGCACTTAGTAGACTACAATCAATACTCTTGCAAAAAATAGTAGAATTAAAAAATAATGTGTGTAATATAAATGATTGTAAAAACATACCTTACGATACATTGAACAGCAGAAATGTAAAATATGGCATAGTGATGCATCTGCGAGTGTTTGTAACTGTGATACTTGATTATCTTGACAACTACAAAAAACAGTGTTATGACACTGAGTATAACTAATAGGCTGATTCGACCACATGCTATTCCGTCATATAAATCCAAACATCCTTTATTTAGAGCATCCAGTGTGTGATTGTCAAATCTCCGATTCCAACCCATCTTTCTAGTTTTCTTTTATTTCTAGTAAGTTTGATCTTCTAATTATCTGAAAAAGTGGAATATCATTAAATGAAAATGTATGTTATATTGTAAATAGAAGTAAATAATTAACTATGAATAACTAACTACTAAACTACGTAATTCAATATCAATTTAGAATCGAGTACAACAATATTTTTCAATGATAACTAACATTTGATAAGCTTCAAAAACAAAATTTAATGATATTGTAATGGCTGTTCTAATTTTATAATGGTATTTATTGTAATTAAAAATTAATGTCGTAATGATTACGCGTGATAAGTCAAGGAATATTTCAAATCAACGTAAATAAATAACATAAGACTTTTTTTAAATGAGGTATAATGTTGCCATATAATAATTATCAAATGCGACTACATTTATCTCCTGCAGAATCAAACCAAATTGTTATTTGTTAGAAGCTTTCAAAATAAAGTCAACAAAGTCATGTTCAAACAAATATAAGAGCACCTATTCTTCAAGAATTGCCGCAATGCGAAGCAACGCTCATACCGACAAAGGGCGCACCTGCGACCTCACACGCCCATTTCCTACGATCCTATCCAGGTACTAACTTAAAAAGTGTGAAAGGCACTCAAGCTATATTTATCGGCCCTACATGTATACATAAGAGCGAGAGATCAGAAATTATTACATGCACAAGGCCTCGCGTATCTCGCATAAAGAGCGTTAACGCGAGAGAAGAAAAAGAAACAAAACGGGAGGGCCAATAACCTTTCACGCGCCTACCCACTGAATCAACTCGACCAAAAGTATAACAGTACGGCTCGGTCCAGTCATTTAATTACCGAGAATGCACGCGTGATGTATAGATCATTGTGAAACGCGAGAACTATAATTACTAAAACAGAAAGCAACTTAGCTTTCTTTGTATACAAACGAGACGCACAGATCCAGAAGAGTGCGGGCTACACGCACGCATACGCATATGCATATCGTAAGGGCTTGGCTCACCTTCTTCTTTGGCTGGGGGAGCGGCGAAGCTGCTGCTCGCCGCCGATAAGCTGCTACGCATTCTCTGCGACGCTCACTATCGTCGTCGGCGCATTTTCTCCAGGAACGCACAAACAACAACGCGCACTTCAAGACGTAGACGCGTATAGCTTATATACGCTTTTACTAAGCCTGACTCCGTTTTTTTTTCTTCTGCTGCTGCTACTCACTGCTGCCAATGCTGCCGCGGCAGAGTATAAGAGAAAAGGGAGGGAACGCCTCGACAATGCAACCTCACGCCGCAGCGCACCGACTGACTCTCTCGCTCTCGTTCGCTTGTTCGCTGCTTCGAAACGAGGGGGACGACACAGCCCGAGTGACGTCAGCCGAACACTGGCGGAACTGCACGAAGCTTCGCGCTCCAGCTCGAGTGAATATAATGCAGTAGCATTCACAGCGCTTTTCGCAATTTTCTCACAAAAATACGCAACGCCGAAAGATGAACTGACGTGCTTATGTAATTTAGATCATTCTCACGTCTGCAACCTTGGCCTTCGCGCAAGTGCATTGTAAAGTTTAACAAAAGAATATGTGGTTCTCAGTTATCACAAGGCTAGCGGGAAATTCGAATTTGACTTTTTTTCAGAGAGAAAAAAATTTAACTGTTTAACTTATTAGATACCTTTTCACGTTAAAATTATGCTAGGTTACACAAGATTTGAAATTAATTGAATCATTAGGAAAGTGAAACTAAAGAGAAATCTGGGTATTATGATTTTCCTGTTACAATGAATATTTAAACGGTTTTTATCAAAGACGCAGACAACGTGAGTTCTAAGAATGTACACAAGAGACGCATAAATATACTCTTGTATGTATATTGCGTAACGCCTTCTGGTCGTTATATCTAAATTTCGTAACTTCGGTACCTCTGATATTTTGTTTCGAATTTTGAAGCCAAAATTTAAGATTGTAGTGCAGCCAAAGTTTAACTTTAAACATAATCTATTCTTGGCATTCATTGATGAATAATAAAATTACATTCTACTAAAAATTCGATGTTTCTAAAAAAAATTATTATTCCGTCAAACGGATTCAATGAAAAATATGCCGTGAATATATTGAGACTGAAGTTGAATAAAGCGACAGCCATGTAGTTGAGTAGAGCCGGTAACGTTAAAGAGCAATACGGAACAAATAGCGATATAGAAACGATCGATTGCAATTTTAAAGGACTGACTTTAATGGAAGGAAGAGACTTTAATCTATCGGAAGGTAGATACATGAACGAGGATGACAATGGTAGGCAGCATCGATAAACTGAATAAGTATCGCGACGCTCGTATGCGTACATACGTATACTGCGCGCCATTGGAACTAGCATGAGCTGACGTCGGCTGTACAAGCTCTGAAAATTTAATGAACTCACGGGGACGCCGACGGCTATTTCCGTAGGGCATAATAATCGGTCAAATTGTCAAGCGCGCATATACACGTGCTTTTACCGCGAGGCTTGATTCCTTGGCTCGAAATAGACTTGTTAATCTTTTTTTAGATTGCTTTGTATTTATATAGGCTACGCTATCCGTAATAACTATATTGTCCGCGAATCGGCCACGATCACCTGTGTTTTTCCAAGCTCTTTCGCGATTTCATCGACGTTTCTTTTTTTATTCCTTTTCACTGGGAACTCGTGTTACACGTGGAAACGATTCTATTTTGCTCACGCGTAAAAGCTGAAAATCGAATTTTATCGTGCCAACATCTAGGAACGCAATTTCAAACTATTTAGAAAGTTCTTTTTTTTTTCTCTCTCGAGACTGTTTCGGTGAAAAGCGCTTTCAAGTCAAGTATAGTGCAATGGGGACTTTCTCTAATAGCTGAAATTTCAATGAATGATAATTTATCGATTGGAACATATTGTCCTACATGTATGCAGTGCACATTGAGGCACACGCGATATGCAGCGATAAGATGATTCGATTGGCTATTTATAATGAACGTACACGAGACATTTTTTTATCCTATTACTACGAACTCACGGAAATGCTGTTTTTTAAATCTCGTTATGCGAAAATCTATGCAACTGTTATTCATAGTTACAAAGAAAAGAAATAGTCAACGATTTTTTGAACTTTGAGTACAGCAATGAGATTTCGTTGGCAACGTGCAACCTGCAAAACCTAGGCTATTGTATATCTGAACGATATTTTTTCCTAACTTTGACAACTGATGACATCGCTTTATCGTTATATTGCCCGTCATTACTTAGCCATCAATTATACGTTTGTTTCATAAAATTGCAAAGTACTTGTTGCTAGACGATCGTCGTGTATAGCCTCGAGCTAAACTGTACAATATTTTTCATTCTGTCGATATCTTATTCACATTCAAACGATGAACTCGTGCGTGGCTGGTTTTGTAATTACTTTGAGATTTGACTAACAAGAATGAAAGAAATAAAAAAGCATTATTCGATACTCTTTTTACATTCTATACTTTACAATTAAACTTAACTTATTTATTCTTAAAAAAATGTTATGACAGTAATAGCAACTTACAATCAGTACATAGGTATAGATATTTGAGACTAACTATATAATGGATACCTTATATGAAAGTATAAGTTATTTGAATTTGAATATATCAATAGATATAGATTATTTGATTGAAATTACAATGTATAATTACGCTAATTTATGTTCAAGTCACAAATCACACGGACATCGTTTTTTACCGTCGTCTCACGGTTGACGAGCGATATAATAGATCATAAATGGGTATAATAGCTCGTCGTATCGATGCGAACGAACGAATGTTCAAGGTTCGTTAGCGTCTAGTGACATTCTGGACGGTCGACGTTCTGTGGCCAGTCGCAAATGAATTTCTCGGGGCTATAGACAAGACCGTCGCGGCACTGGAACTTCAATGGCTTTCCGTATACGCATCTGTAATACTGCAACAAAGCGGAAGCAAAATCATTATTTACAATGACGTTGCCTGCATTATAAATTGTAACGGCCGTGTAGTTTATTGTTTCAAGAGCTATGAGCTTTGTACGCCTGTTTAATATTTATTTTGCGCGAGTTTGCAAGGACAGCGTTCGAAAGATAAATATTTTAATAGGCTTTCAGCTGCACTGCGTCGCCGTATGTAGACCAAAAAATCCAAGCCTTTCGTCGGAAATAACACGTGCTACAAGTCAATTACGTTGACTCGATTACCGGAGAAGGTAGATAAAAAGAGCCGACAGCTCTCTTGAATCGATCGATTGATCCGAGAGCTTGCGCACGACAAGAAATTGCATTTGAATGCTAAGGACAATCGATAAGAGAGCGAAACGTCCTCGAAATGAAAATGCGCGATAAGTTTGTCACGCTTACGTTCCAGCCGATTAAAAGTCAGTCAGATTTTGCAGCACAAGCAAGAGTGGAGAAGAGAGGAAAACGTCATCGTACCACAGCGCAATCCTTGGCAGGCATGAAGTCCTGGTCGGCGCACTTGATCTCGTTGTCGCTCTCGTCGATCTCTTCGGTTGGCTTCGCCGGGGCCGGCGTCGTCGGCCTGTAAGTTGGACGCGGTACTGGCTGGGTCGGCCGGTGCGGTCGAGTTGGCCGAGTGGTCTCCTCGGTTTCGCGAGTCGGCGTCGTGTAGATAGCCTCCGACGAGTCGGGTGTCGTACTCTTTGGTCGCGACCACTCGGGCTGCGTGAATGCAACAGCGAAACAACGTCATTATCGATCCGCGCCGGGTTTTCGCGGACGCGCGTATATCGTTCAGAGGCGCGAGACTCACCCTCGGGGTGGTGCTGCGCTGCGGCTCGGGGACGCTGTAATCGCGCATGTTCTCGTAGAGAATGAGAGACAGGTCGTTCTTCCTGCCGCAAATGCCGCGGAAGTCGTCCATATCGATCGCCCAGGTCATGGCGCCAGCGTACCCTTTAGACTTGATCCAATCCATCTTGATTTGCACGCTCTCCGGGTCTTCGTAGCCTACCCACTGCGTGCCTGCGTATCGAGGACCGAAAGACAAATGAGCGCCGAGGAGTCGGAAGAATGTCGCATAAATGCATATGAATTGTTCTGCAACGCGCGTCCTTTCACTTTCCGTTCCTCTGCGCGGCCAATGTACGCCGAATCGCGCACGCTTGGGTTCAAACTTTGAACCTCCACCAATGGACCGCGTGTCGACACAAGTCAAAGAGAATACAAGAAGTTTCTGTCAATAAGAAGAGCCAGCGAGAGGAGCAGCGAGACAGAAAATAGCATTCCAAAAGCCTGACTAGCCCGTTTTCGTTTACATTTCCTCCCTCCGCGCGGAATGCAATCTTCCCGCTTTTAAAACTCACTTTGCGCGCGCGCTCCTCGAGAGGTATCTTCCTCGCGTTCTTCTTTTCCTGCTTTCGTGAGTTCTCGCTTATTCAAATTTCTCGAGAGTTTCGTCCGCATGAAAATTTGCATTCGGAGATAGCTCTCCGCGTGGGCAGAGTATTTTTTATTCGTCTCGTTCGCGGGATAGGTATGTACCGTTTTTGTCCGGTTCGCAATTCCATTCAGACGCGAGTTCGATAAGTGCAACTGTATACAATGACATCGGCGCTCACCCTTGTAGGCGTAAGGAACTTTTCCCTGATCATCCCACTTCTTGGTCCAACCGGAGTCTGGGTCGTTCACTTCGGCGCAGATCTAAAACGAACGAAAGAAAAGTGCATCCTCGAGTTCACGTTTGAGGCGCTGTCGGCATAAATTTAGCAGCAAGATCGCATACCTCGTAGTAAGCTAAGAATCCTTTGGCACCGGTGTATTTACCAGGAGCCCCACCGCCAGCCTCTTTGTTGATGTAAGTTCCTGGATTATAGTTGTTGTTGCTCTGGCTCAGGGTGAAGCTCCTACCGTAAAACGGTATGCCGACGACGAGTTTGTTGGCTGGACAACCGTAATTCTCCCACAACTGAAGGCCATCGTTCTGCAAAGCGAATAAACGAGCCGTCGCAAGAGTATTCGATTGCCGCTGCGTGCTTACGTACCACGTTGAGTTTTTCGTAAGCCCACTGGTCGTGAGGCCTCTTGTACAAGGGGCTGTGCACGTCGGCGAAACCTGCCCAATTACCGCGAAGATCGTACGACATGACGTGAATGGCATCGACATTCCTGGAATTTTTTCATGTGCCATTTGACGCAACGATAAGGCCATTTTATTCGCGAGCATTTATGACTCACTCGCAGAGCTCGGGTACGTGATAGCCCTCGTCGAGACGGAATTTCGCCATCGGCACGGCCATTGTGATTTCCCAGCCGCGACCTTCGCGATCGAATGCTCTTCTCAATTCCTCCGCGAAGTAGAAGAACACGTCCTTGTCGGAAAATTTGCCACCGCGATCGGTAGCTCCTGGATACTCCCAGTCTAGGTCGAATCCGTCGAAGTCATATTTCTTCATGAATTCTGAAAGTTGGTTTGGATGAACGAGGGCATTCAATTGTTTTGTGACAAAGACGAGAGATTGATCGTTAAAAAAACTGTGCATATTGTTAAAAAATTATTTATCAAATCGAGCATCAGCTATTTCTGACCTATTATCGATGCTATGCAATACAAACGGAATCAAACTTCCATACTTACCAACAACGCTTCTGATGAAAGTTTTCCTACGTTCCTTGACAGCAACGAGAGCACTGTACTTACGACCGCCCTCGCCCCATCCGCCAACGGCAACTTCAGTCTTCAAGTTAGGATACTTGCGTTTCAAGCGAGTGAACTTGGCAAATCCACCTTGATCGACATCGAGCTCCGGATCAAGAATCAGAACTTCCCAAGTGACATTGCTCACACCGATGAACGAGTAAATGACGTGAGTGCAAAGATTTGCTGGCACATCATCGATTCCATATTTGCCGATGCCTGGACGGTAGATAGCCCAATTGCTGAAATAGCACACTATTCTTGCGGGCTGCTCTCCTATTTTTCGACAAGTCAACAACTTATTTATTGTTTGGCTTTGAATTTCAACTTTTACTGGTTATTATTTTGCTTAGGTGGACGTGATTTATCTCGATATTCATTTTTTGACCGATAAAATTAAATATGACGCTGTTATATTAATATTTTAAGTAACTTTTCTATTGGTTTGATCGATTGGTCACGTACAAACGTTGGCACGAGTCTTTCTGGTTCGAAGTCATTATGAACTCTACGCAAGTTTTCTTATCTTGGAGAAAAAAAACAGAAACAATTTCCGAAACGCTTACCTACTGAGGTGCTGGCAAACAGTGCTAAAGTAGCACTCAGGGAGACCAGAAGCTTTCCCACTTGGGAGTTCATTGTTCAGACTCTGAAACACACGAAGGATGAATACATTAAAATTTCAATGCCAAAAGAACAGCTAAAGCCCAAACGATAAATCAATACTTGTAAAGACTAAATGCAAATGCAAGTTGGGCGAGTAGAGCCGTCAACTACGGAGTGGCCGCGAATGTAATCAACTGCGCGATATTAATGACGACAAAAATGATGAATCGCGATGACACCTTACCGTGACTTCATCGTGCTCTTATCTATAGCTTTTATCGGAAATTAGCAATTATACGAAGAAGGTGCGATAAGTGATGCAAGCAAGACAGATATGATAAATTGAAAGGGTTCGGACAAAAGACACGGAGCGCGAACCTTTTGTTGGAATGGATTTAGCAGCAAAGGGGTCGAGCGAGCGCGTGGCAGTGCCCGTCGGCGCGCTCGAGACAACTCTGAAGCTTGTAGCTCGCATCCTCGCGAGAGGAAGTCCGAGCTATAAGAACTGCCGGGGCAGAGGCGGTCATTTTTATGGGGGCTGACGAAGTAGGCAAAGGAGGAATGATCTATACGTACACGCACACACCTATAGACCGGTTTTTCTTGAGAGCATTAAAAAGCAGGCATGATCGATGATACCGCCGTTATTCCGAATCGCACCCAGCCAAATGGTAATCTCGCAGCTCTTGTCGTTGATTAGCTGCGCGCCGCAATCACGACGGGTTTTTCGCTTTTTATCGCCTTCATCATTCCGCGAACGTCGTTCCCCCGCCACGGAGAGCTTGGATAAAGCTTCCGAACCATCGTGTATATCCCTTTTTATTAGGCCGATCAACGTGAGTTCCATATACGGAGAGATTGCATTTATTTGTGTGTCTTTGTTGATAAACTTCGAGTGCTAGATATTCCGTTTCATTCTCTTTTTTAAAATAATTTACAATGTCGGCAGATCCACGAGAGAGAAAAGACCTCGTAATTCGGCAATCGCTTTACGTATTTATATGTCTTTGACCGGGGAGAAAAATAATCCGTTAAAATTTACTCGGTCAAAAAAAAAAAGAAACATGTTTTTTGTAATTTGATTTTTTAAATATTCTTTTCAATTTATCGTTCATCGGCTTGAATTTGAGCTCAAGGCCAAGGGATCTGTCCATCCTTGTAGCTATACACGCGTGCATTTCATCGAGCTAATTAGGTTATTGACTCTTGATCGATTCCACTTGATATATGACAATTCTAATAAAAGCTATGTAGCGCGCGTTAATCTAAAATTCAGCGGCTGTTTGCGACGAGGATATATTTGAGATTTATTCATGCAATATAAAGCAAAGTACGGTTTTAATTTTATATGTCGCGATTGCTTTTTAGTATGTCCGATGGAAGACGAAGTATTCAATAGTTTCAATAACTTAGCAGCTTTGTGCAGTTCGTAATACGATTCAGCCTAATCTCAGCAAATAACTGGAAATTTTAAAAAGAACGCACGCAAGCACGAAGCCTGGAGTTGCAAGATCCTCTTTTTGCATTCGACAATGTATATTGTTAATTATCTCCCTATCGCTCGCGAAAACGAATAACCACAATTGCCCATCCAGTTCGAGAAAAAAAAAGGAAGCCACGAGTGTGAAAGACATCGCGTGAGCGCAATCGAGCGACAAGCATTTCCGAGTCTTCGGTTCGACATAATCGGTCGACGGTAGTGCGAGTGCGACAGACAACCACTGCAGAGTCATTTCGTAACGATTTTCGTTCGTACCTCTCTCGCAATCGTGGCTGTGTCAGGCTGCGGGTGGCAATTTTTTGCTTTGGCTTCTTCCTCGCGGATACCAATCATTCGACGGTCATTACGAATCTCGTGACTACCGAAGGATGAAAAGTACATACACCTTAACCTACTTGTCTGTGCAGTTGTTTTGATACTCGCATTTTATACGTCTGATTAGATAATTTCCTCAAACTTCTGCTTCTTTACTAGCTGAGGTGTCGTTAATGATAGTCGTTGGGATTTTCTTTACGTAATTTTCTTGTTTTGTCGATCGTGTCAATACTATAATGGTATTATGTAAGAGGAAAAGCTAATTGAATAATTGTACAAGGGTATATAATAAATTATTCAGTGAATTATTCTGCTTCGGTATTTATCTTTATTGATTCGCAATATCATTTGAATTCGATCCAATTTCATTAACGTATCTTTATTTCATAACGCACATCCATTCGTAAATATTTCTTCGATTTTCAATATCACTGACATTTTATGAAACGCAGTCGATACAAATGCGGGCAGATGACTTTTTTCGAAATTGATAAGGACCGAATCAAATAACTACTTCTGCTCTCGGACCAAACCGGCTAGCCTCTGAAAGTATGTAAAGTATATACATCCGTTGAAGGTGGAATTGATTTCTCGAATCAAAAATACATCAACAAATATTGTATTTGTAAAAAACTGGCAGTGAACAAGTTATTCATAATTGTTCGAAGTACGGGTCTAGAAATTTTGAGAAATGACACGTAATATTGTTGGAAATATGACAGGTTAAATTGGGTTTTGTACTATATAGTGGGCTCAACTGGCCAGACATCGTGCTATTATGATTTTACATAGGCACTTGAAAAGAAAGAAGTATATGACTAAGACATACCACATGTGTATTCTCATGTATTTTGGCCTGTTAAACACGAGTTCAGCGTTAAAATGTCTCTACCGACTTACATTTTTTTTTAATGGCAACATGAAATATAGCCTATTTTTTGTCATGGTGAATTTTTATAGTTTGAAAAATTCAAAAGCTCATTTGATTTAGAATTTGTGTTTAACTGTAGAAATGGATAAAAATATATATTTCAATTTTTTCTTTATGGATAAACTCTTTGTAAAAATATATCAAATTCTATAAAGAAAAAATAAAAAGTTCAAAATGGGCAGTTATGAGTGAAAATTATTAAACAATTATTTTTTAATCGGTTGTAAACACCTTGTACGTATATTTATATCCATTTTTAAAGCTAATTATGAATCCGATGTCACAATTTCCCATTTGGCTTTTGTTCTTTCAAACTGTAAAAATTTACCATAACAAAAAACGAGTTTTTCATATAATACAGTGCAGTTTAAACTTTCAGAACTCCAAAAATATTATACATAAATTTCCCAAAATTTCTAGACACGTACATTCTTTACTGACAGTTTTTCACAATTACTATATTTATTAGTGTGTTTTTAATACGGAAAGTCGGGTAAGTGCTTATATTATGGAGTTAATGCGGAAATGATTATTCGATTCATCCCTTCAATTGAACCAAATGAATAAAAGAATGATTATAAGCGGAGGATTCATTATTCGTGATATATTCTGCTTCTTCCGTGCACGTCTTGCTCGTATAATATCACATGAATGTACTCATCGCTAAACTCCAGCGGTGAATGCAAATGTTCTCGGGCAAGCAAACCTTGCCCTAACTCCCTACTTGCAATTTTTATGTTGAAGCTCTTAAATATACCAAAATTACGTTTCGTTAGTCGAAATAATTAAACGCGCTCTGTTTGCAAGATTTTTCATTTAAAACGCGCGCCGCCTACATTTATCTTGAAGTTTTTACTTATCTCTTTTGAATGCTGCGGACTTTAATGGAAGCAACATTTCTTCTGTGAGTGCTGCCTAATACGAATAGTAATTTCAACCGCTAAATGAAGAGCGAAAGGTATTACACGAAGAAACAGTGCACAAAGAATCGTCTATGGTGAAACTATTCTTGTGAAAACTTTAATATAACGACATCGTTGAGCGTTTTCTTTTAAAGAGAATTTCAAATCACGAACACTAAGTACAAAAGTAAAAGGAAAGAATGCGTGATCCGAGCTCATTTGAAAAAACGTGAACGTATCGTTGACAATCCATAAATACTTCGCAAGCATGAAACAACCGTACGAGACACACGCACAATAGGTATAAATATCTTACCCCGACAAAGACGGCACCCTAATGGTATAGTAGCCTAATTGAAATTCGTAGTGCATCCGTGCGGGTGAGCAGCCTTCGTCATCTCTATTCCATGTGGCTTGCGAATGCGAAATTTTCAAAGTCTACTCTCACTCACAGGCACGACGTCACGAAACAAAGAAAAGATATCGCGCTTGCCTTAATTTTTATTTTATAAGTTTTCGATGACGAATGCTTCCGGCGTTTTCTTCATTTACAATTTCCGAACGTTTAATTTTCATACGTCAATCATACCGCGTACTTTAATGGCGTTGTGCCATGCATTTCGATTCGCTTTTTGCTGTTCTATGATCTGTTAACTTTTCTCAAAACCTAATGTATGAATATATACTGAGCGCATACATTTCACAATATCCGCACAAAAGATTAATATTTAGATTAATAATTAGACGATGGTCGGATGACTGTCCGGCACACTTGAATTTTTATATTGTAACGAATACCAATTGTTTTTTTCCCAAGTGAACGATGACTTATCGTTCAACTTTTTTAAAAGAACAGAATTTTTCGCCGCTGACAAAGAACGTTTTTCGCGAGACAACAGATTGAAGATCTTTTTAAAAGTATTAGATGAGAATTTATAAAAGCACATACAAAGCACTTTAAAGTAATGGTAACATGCAATAAAACGGCTACAGAAAATGATCGACGATAATTTAATTCGAAGCCAATAAAGTTGACGTAAAAAAATTTTTATCATAAACTCACTCACGTATAGTTTTCCAATTTCGAAAAACTTCACAACAAACGAATGACTTTGAAATTCTAAGCTTGGCAAAACTGAAGAAGAGAGAAATAAATGAAGTTGGAAAGAAGCAAAAGACTCACCTTCTAGCGTGACAGGCGGGTGGAAATATCATGGCGCGAGTCGAAGTGTTAGCGACTATATAGCCCGATGGGCCTCATTAGAATTCAGGTGCAGGGACCGGGGCCGCGATTGGCTGGTTCGTCGACCCGCAACGCGCCGCAACAGTGTGTATAGCACTCAACTCCTCTTCTCTCTCTCTCTCTCTCTCTGTCTCTCTCTCTCTCTCTCTTTCTCTCTCTCTTCGGTTGTCAGTTTTTTCTCTTTTGCTCTCCCTCTTCTTCTGCAGCAGTAGCTTGCTGTGCGCATCCGATCAAGCGGATCAAATTTCCTTAGATTCGTTATTAAATAAGAGGATTATCCCACGTAGATGTAATTCTATTGCGAATCTCGTGTGCTTTTTCGTTCAGTTACTTGCGGGATCAACTCGATCATTTTTGCAGAGCTAACCACATCAATTTTGCAAATCGTATTGTTTTGTAATGCACGGGTAATTTTTATAAATTTTACAGATTCAGTTTATTAATCCATCTCAATTACTTTTCGGAATCTTTTATTTTTTTTGTGTTTCTAGCGTAATAAATGATACAATAAAAAATGTTACTTTTTCTACATCTTTTTTTTTCTATTTACTTTTTCCTGAAAATTCTCTTACTTAATTTGAGTAACTAATTGGAGTACTTTATTTCCTTATGACGAAAACTTTTTCTGTGGAGATGTACCGACTTTCAAACAACATTATTCTTGAAAGTTGTAGTGTTACAATCTAAGCTACTATGTAGCAAAAAATCTAGGCTACTATGCCTTCTAATCTACTTTGAGGTAATTATTGAACTGTTTTCTTTGATTGTACATATCAAAACACTCTCAACTTAATTACAATATTAATTTCAGTCACAAATATTATTTGTTTTTATTTGTGTTTTTATCTTATTTAAATGAATTTAAAATTAAATAAATTTACAATTAAATAAAATAAAAAATATAAGTCAATTGTGGCGGTTGACACTAAACATAAATTTTGATATTTGATTTATATTAAATATCACCGTTATCAAATTTTTATAAATCAATATTAATAGAGACTTTTATTATTATTAATGAAAGAACATTGTGCAGGCATAACGTACCACAAAATTTACGAAATAACAAATCAGGGATACATTTTTAAATTAATTTGTTTAGAGGTTAACTTTTTCAACGTAAATTTTAATATTTTTATAATATTTTTTATGAAAAAATGCATAAATATTATATTGTTGTAATATTTTGAAAAAAATTCAACGTTTTTTTTCCACTTTGTATAATTAATTTTTTTTTACGTTTTCATTGACTCTTGTATCTTATCAATTCTTAACTACAGTAGTTTCAATGCAAATGTTTTTTTCCCGTTTAATTCCAGAAATAAAAAGTATACTTTATTGATACACGTCAATAATAAGATTCAGAGCGTAATTTCGCGATTATCTCAGGTTTGGAGGCACCACGTCGGTCGTAAAAGCAAACTGACTAACTCTTTCGAACCAATTTACCAACTGATTTTTAGGTAAAGCGACTTTTTAATTTTTATAAATATTAAATTAATATAAATACGAACTAAGAACGTAACGTTTCTTTTTCTTTCATTGCTATTTTGTTTAGGTAATTTTTCTAATTGTTAGTTCCATAATTTTTATTTATTTTAATGCTTCTTCAACTTTTTATTGCACACTTATTCAAGTCTATTTATTTTTCAACTACATATAGTAATAGCAGGAAACTTTTCATATAATTCTGTCCTGCACGGAGTAAAAAAAGTGTTTCACCTCCTGGAAATTTACAATAATTCGTGCGGCATAAAAACCTGACATAAATTTTGTAGAAATATTTCAGAAATAATTTATAATAATTTATACATATGTTTATAGGAATAATGTTTGAAAACATTCTAACAATTTTAGAGAAATGACGTGTATAATATTTCTTAAAAATGCTTCCAAAGAATTGCCATGATTTTTCAAATATAAATTATTTCTCAAAATTTTATTAAAACATTTCTTAAAAGGAATCTCAAGAATATTTCAGGAACTTTTTATAAATTATTCTTAATATTTCTCGAAACATCAACAGTTAGAGAAGCTTCTATTAATGAAATATTTTGAATTAGAACAGAAACATATAGAATGTTATTTATCTTGTTATAATAAATTATCTTATAAGAAAGAGTTACTGATATCTTTCTTAAAAAATTTGGAAAATATTTTTTTACACATTCCAAAAATATTTATATGTCCGTGTAAATTAAGCCATACAAATATTGCAAGAAAATTACTACAATGTTTTTCCTCGAAAGATTATTAATAGTTTTCAAGATATATAGCAATACTCTATTTTTTTTAATATGTCTGCAGTCCAAATATCACAAATATATAAAATTTTAGAGTTCGATCTCTACACAAAGACTTGGAAAAAATTGGCAGTAAGATAAACGTTGCATTTGAAATACTTGATGAATTTTATATTCTACTTCAATTTATAATTTGTCATGATATTACGGATAAAAGGGCTGGAACGTAAAACAAAAAGACGATATCAAAACCAGTTTGTTATTTATTTTTTTTATGAAATATTTTAACATTAAATTAAATATGTATAGAAGTTTACGCTTGTAACAGTTTTCTTTGCCTGGTTACTTCAATAAAACTCTTCTTTAATACGTAGTCATTTAAGATTCGATTTTTCATAACTCACAAAAGCTTTCTTTATGATGATATCGATGGTTGCGAAAACTTTTGTTTGATAAAGACTAGCAACCCTTAAGAATATGTTACTTACAATCAAAATTTAACTACTTTATTAAAAAAGAATTATCTTTTTACAGTTTACAGCTGAGAAGCTTGTGTATTTTTAATTACAAAAATTAATAAAATAATTAGAGTTCTCACTCTATTAATGATTACTAAACAAAGTTTTGAATTTATACAAAAGAATCAGTCACTACGATAGTTTATGAAAAATAAATTTCCTTTGTGTTTAGCTATCTTTCTCACAATAACGTATACGATCTTTTCTTATTGAAAAAAATGTTATCTAGTTTGCATATAGTTTTCATAAGGTTATTTTCATGTCAGTTGTTTCTTTATAATTTGCAAACAAGGAACTTTGATAAAAACACGAAAACAAATTTAAAAGTATTGATAATTTTAAGTAACTGTGTCTTTATCTGCTTAATTGCATATCTTTTATTATTTCGGCATCTATAAAAACTAGTGAAATATACTCTAATACACAATGTGGTTCCATTATGACAGATAATACATTATACGTAGACTATAAATAGTAATAGATTTATACATATTGTTATATAGTGTTGGAACACCTATTGATCTATTCATATTATACGTTATTGTTGAGTGCATCTTCAATAATGGTGAGTTATAATATACAACTATGCAATAATCAACAAGTTGACATACAGTGCGTTTGAATCTACTTCACATGCAAACTTTCTAAAGTCGAAAATAATAAATTATATGTATTTTCTTATAAATAAAGTTTTTTATGACTTTGCTGATGAATTATTTGTGCCGCTTTGTAAAAACTTATTATAACGCATAGTAACTTAATTTAGAATTTATTACAAACTTTTTTATTTTATGTTAGAAAATAGAAAAAAACGTGATCACACAATAACATGATTACATAATTTTTATACTTAAAGAGACTAACTTCTATATTTGTATGTAAGAAGTAGGAAACACCTGTACGCAATGTGAAAAAAAAACAATACAAATTTAAGCATTTTTCTAGTATGGTTTGTGTGTCCACATGGATTCCAATATTATTAATATTGTATTATTTTTTTTGCATTAATATGTATATCGATCACACCTTACAAATGGAGTCATTTTAAAAGTAATTCTAAAATATCTGATCATAAATTACATATAGTAAAACGTTGTTTCGTAAAATAAATCATGCGCAGATTACAATAAAATAGGTGCTTCCATTAAAATCTTGATTTTAATTTAATTTGAATATTAACTATTCAGATAAAATTAAGAATTAAGATATCAAAGGTTCTGTATTACAAATAGTTTATGCAATAACAAATGCTTTATTTTCATATTTAATAATGTTTTTAAAGCACCATTTTAGATCAAATTAAAATCAATAAAAAAATTTTTTCATATAGTTTATAATTGATATCAAAAGTATACCATATATTTCTAATAACATTTAAAAAAACGTGTCAGCTTAACATTTACGTACAATAATTACGTGATGATATTTTCATAAAACAGACTAACTCGGCCACGTAAGTGTTGTAGGTTTAACTCATAAGTGCGCTTTTTTTAATGATATAATTTCACTTGAAAAATTATGAACAACGCTTCAAATTATAAGAGTTAATTTTATTTATACATCCTAGTAAAAAACTGTGGAAGATCTTATTTTCTTGGGCTTACAAATAGGTATGATAATATTTAACGAGTCTTTACAGAATTTTTATATTGAGTTCATGCAGTCTAATATCATTTTCATATTTCGTGATAGCCTTGCAACGATTATTTATTGTCTACGATAAATGTGCATACACAAGGTATTGACGAAACCCGAAGATTTACTTTGAGATTATAAAGTTCGGATATAGTCTATACATAGTAATACTAATTTAGATCTATACAATAAATATTTGTACAATTTATAACATACTTTCGTAATTTTATTTAACGTCACTTTGGACGACTAAATGCTATGTTAAATGAACTTTTTTCATTAAACTCTATTGTCGCCGTTTATTCATAAAGAAAAATCAGCAATAACAATATTATTGAATAAACTTCATAATTCAACAATCAATGTTTGCGATTACAAATCTTACCTAATTCATTTTCATATTACAGTTCTCGCTTTGTCGCCAACTATAAAATTATTACCCTACACATGCAGGATTAGCTTATATTACTTGATCTATACACAATTAAATTAATGTACATAGACACTATTCTAAGAATCGTCTTTTGTAACTTTAAAGCTTTACCGAAGTTATTGATATTTAATTATCAATGGGTGAATCAGAATAAAAAGTAAAGAAATAAATCAATATATAACATACAAATATTAATCACTTAATTAATATGAAATCTAAACTAAAATTTCAATACTTCATAAACCCTAAAAATTTCAAGGAGAAATGTATGCAATGTAGTGAGTTTTAATGTTAGTAATTGACATTACTGTATTTGTTGAACGTTTTTTTCTCCGTTTGGCACAATTTGATATATGTATTCGAAATCAGAGCAAAATTTTAAGTTGCATCAATTTTTTAATAAACTTTTTAGTTGATGGCTTTGTATAATTTGCATATTATACGTCTATAGCTTGTTTCGTATTCTAATTTTAGACATTTTTATCGATGGTCTTAAATGGCATTGACCAATCGTTTTATGAAAGTTTCATAAAAATGCATAATGGACACTTTACACATATAAAGTTGTTCTTATCGAAAATTGAAATTATTATCGAAAAATTGGCACTTTTCCTCATAAAAAGTTAATTTAATGAATATTAAAACTGTGTAAAGATAATAAATTTTCATTATTTGATCCAATATACTGGTAAAAATTACAAATGTATGCTATCGAATCGACGATAATTTATTGCATTTATATTATTCTTATATGTTATTGCACTTTAATCCCTTACAAATGTAAAAAATCGTATGTAATTTGATGTCGATAAAAATGTATTGATTAGGCAGTTGACAAAGGACGCTTTCAATCAATCCTTAAAATATTTACAAATTGCATAGTCGCATGCTTCCTCCTCGCTTTATGGCAAAAGTTGTTTATCAAGAAACAGGTGTTAGATTCTTAAATCTATGAATAGTAATTATCCCTTTGCTGGTACAGAGGCAGAGGAGTCATTGGGGAGAGATCGTCGTCATCGAAGCTGGGATCGTGGTTGAGTGGTAGAGTAGCAAGAGCATTGGCTATATCAGAACATTAATTAGTGAATATATGCATGTCTACAAAATTTTTACCGTATATTAGAAAATTGATCACAAAAAAGTATTTTTACATTTGCTGTCAATATTATTCTTATAAAATGTATGCAAATGTAACATTTTTTTACGTTAATATATAAAACGATTCAAAATATTAAAGGACGTCTAGCTAGCTCTAGTTGTTGAGTTACACACAGTAATTAATAAATATTAATGAAAAATTCGGATATAAAAAGAAAACGTGTAAAAGGAGAAATAAAATGTAAATATGATAACTAATAAAGAAAACAAACCTGACAAACAGTAATATGATGTGCTTTTCCTATATAGAAGGATGGAGGAAACATGTCAGTCAATGTGCCTGGTTACCTACACACAGCACAAACGTTCCAGACAACACTCTACTAGTCGGCAAAATATTGGATTCATAATCAATGCCGGGAAGCTGTATGTAATCAAGTTATTGATTAACTTTAAATATTAGAGAATCCATTGTTTTTTATTTATCGAAATATATATGTATATATTTAGCTAAAATTGAGATGGCAATTTAAACAATTGCTTTGTAAAGCATATTTAGTTCTTTTTCGTTATAATTTTAGCTCAAACGTTGACTATGAAACAAATTTTGCCAGAGACATCTAAAGTCTTTCAGAGCAAACACTCGAGATGACGCTATGAGATGTAATGAAATTAAAGAGCTGTTAAAAAAATGAGTTGCTTACGATTTAATAAATTAAGTATATGCAAAAAAGAATGACCAGAGTAAAAATATAAAAATAGATATTATTATAAAAAGCATGCTTTTGAAAACACATCTAAATCTAAAAACGCTAACTTATTAGAACACTCATTTTGTCATGCATGACGAGCGAAACTCCGAAAAATGTGAACTAAGTATAACATTCAAATATTAAGATTTTTATAATTCGTACCGGCAACCATTTTACTTTTCTCCATCACTTGCTTTGCCAAAATTTGATTCAGTTGTAGTATGTGTTCTCGCTGTCTCTTCTCTTCGGCTACTTTCTTTTTTAGAGTATCTGACTTTTCGATGTTTGGATCATCTTCTGAAAAATTATTGATGAAACGTTAACTTTGCATATATCGATTTAAAAAATGCACAATAGAAATGCAAACCTGTTCCTTCACCACTTCCAGTTACTGTAGTTTCCGAGAGCATTTTTCTAATTGACTCAGCTTTCTTCAAACGCTGCTCTTTCTCTTCAGCAGTCAATTCCGGTGTCTATTAGAAAATAAACGATTTCAATGAGCACTTTCGATAATCTTGAAGATAGAAGACGCGCATTGATATCTACCTTTTCCGGCACGTAACGCTCAGGAATGATAATTTTGTTAGGAGTGCCTAAAAGTTGATCAATAGTGCTCTCGTTGTATTTCAGCTCCTTATGACTTAACGTCGACCTGACGACGTCGGGAGCGTTGATCCTTGGTCGCAGCGCTCTCTCCATGTCCAAGTCATCTCTTGCTCTTCCCATACCCTACAAAGAGTAACATTGCAGTACATTAATAATTAGTTTCATTTTGTAATGAAAATTTTGTCAAGTAGCTTTATATGGATATGTGAATACGTAAGTGACGAAAAAAGAACAATAATTTAATTTAAATATATTGACGTTTAAATAAATTATACTTTATGCTATGTAATTTAGTTGCTTAAATATTTACTACTTACTTTATCAGAGAGGCACATAAATTAAGTTATTAGCGAATTGTGATTGGTTAGCTAAGTTAAATATGAAAACATTAATTATTGTTACTTTCAATGCGACATCCGTATGAATATTTAGCAGCCGCAATTAGTATAAGCACGTATAATCAACAAGCAACACTGATTTTATGTAACTGATTTATGAAAGTGAAAAGTGCAAGAAGAATCGCAAAGAAATTTGGCAGAATAATTTGACTTTTCAATGTTTAATGTCACGATTGAACCCCATTTATTACCAAAACGTTGAAGTGCTGTAATAATGAAGGCAGCCATGAATATAATTAAAACATCGAAGCGAGCACGCAAAAAAAATGTTACAACGACTGTGAATCATACGCATAGCAACATAAATGCTAAATTTTTTCAAGATTCAGTACATGGTATACATTATACAGAAATAAACAAGTTGTAAATAAATGTAAGTGAGGAGTAAAATGTCTTTTGGCAGATAATGCAACAAGGTACAGAAAAGACGACAACAACAGAATACACGCATTAATGAAATTAGGAGCAGTGGCAGCAGTGAACAAGTAAACTTTGATAATCCTGCGATATGTATAGGCAGGCGGCCACCCAAAAGAGACATAAAAAAGTGATAGGAAAGAGAAAACCCAAACGAAAAGTAAAATCCAAAGTGTACCATCTTCGTGAGAGCGTCTTCGAGATCGAAAAGCGGCTTGCTACTGGATACGGTATAGTGTCGTCTCTTTTCCCGCGGCACCTGACGCCTCCTAGGCCTGTCGTTGGGTTTCTTCTCGCTCATCTCTTTGATGATTTGCCGCGCGGCTTCGCTCTTGAAGATCGGCGACAGAGTCGGCGACTCCGAGGACAGAATCTCCGTGCTGCCTGTTGGGCTCATGGGATAATGTGGCTGCGGTGGATGCTGATAGGGCGGACTCGTCGAGGAATAGTAATAGGGAGAGGATACGCTTGTGACGCTCTGACCCTGGGGAGACGAGAAGGTCGGACTGTCGGTCGCGTACGGTGATAAGGTGCTGTCCGAACTCATGCCCGTGTCTTGGATCTCGATCTGTCGTTGCGTGTTGTTGTTCGATATTGCATTGTTTTTTGATTGTTTATAGGGTATCTGGATCGAGAAAGGAAGGATAAAGACGATGAGAGAAAACAAAATGAATAGATGAATGAGTGAGTGAGCTTTAAGCTTTACCAAGCTGCGCTTTATACCACGCTAGCTGTAGCTGATTTCTTTGATGGATTGTTTGTTTAGACTAGTGTTTCTGTACAGATTTTCTTTTTTCCTTTCTAACGTCAAAATGCATGGATGCGTGTATATATATATATATATATATATATATATATACAGAGATTTAATATTGTTATATGATTTGGTAAATTGCGGCAATGTCACGTTTTATCTCGCAATTCATGCCAATAACAATTCGACGTCGAGAAAATCGTGCTAATTCAATTCAACATTGCCGCATTTTCCCGCTAGTACAAAGTTTAGTAAATAAGTAAATATTGGAAAACGTGAGAAGTAAAAAAAATGGTAAAAATGGTTAATCAACGCATAAAATATGCCATTACTTGCAACGTCTTCCTTATGTACACGCAATATGGTTTATAAAAAATGTAAAAAAAAGATGTTTCATTCTCAAAGCAGCATATCTAGTAAATCGATAATCTAGCCATCAAAAAATCGAATGGTGCAAGGAGAGAAAGAGAGCAAAGGGAATGCTCGATTTCGTTGCACAAGCTTACCCTAACGCGATGTCTAGCCATCATATTCCTGAGGGCAGTGACGCTGTCGCTTCGAGGCGGTGGTACGACGGGATTCTGGTGGACACCTGGATACGAACGTTGACCACCAAAGCCTCGAGGTAGAGACATACTACGCTGGAATTGCATGTCGCCGAGTTCCGACAATTGAACGCTACTCTGCGCGTGCATCATTGGCGTTGCTGTCTCTTCGATCACTCGATCCAGTTGAACCTAATTAAAAAGACAAGATACACGAGCAAATGAGATTTGGAGAAAGAATGCAAAGTGACGAAAAATTTGATCAAGTAATTTATAAGCAACGAACCTCGTATTGATGAGGCTCGCCGTAATCATCATCGCCGAGTCTTTTGGCTCCCCCTGGGGTTTGGAATCCATTCGTCAAGGGGATGCCGAGGTTACCAGTTCTATCTCCACGGTCCCTTTGACGTCTCTCCGACTCGCGCTTCACTATGCGCACCGTTTTGATCTCCTGTTTCTCGCGATTTTGCATGAAAACTGTCGAATAAAAAGTTATTCCATGAATAATAGATCGAGCGCTGATTGCGAGCATTTCATTTTTCGTTGAACGTTGTCGAATGCGAATAAATTATTGTACTTACCAGAATATTTATCATCTTCGTTTCCGTAACCGCCATTCATCATGACTGCTTCTTCAACAGGGGGTGGTGGAGGAGGAGGTGGAATGTATTCCGGAGGAAGCATAGGACCGCCATTAATTATGTGCTCGCAGTGTCTTATATTTTCTGTGGACCATCGTTTATAACGTATTAAAAATCTTTACAAAGATCTATGTAGTCAAATTAAAAAGAACATTATCAGTTTGTCAACAAACTCACAAGAGTATATGCATCATAATATAATAAATTCATAAAAATAGAATATAAAATTGCTACAAATACATGCGCAAACATGTCGCTATATAAAATCCAAATATAACGTTGCAAGTATAGTCGGAGAATAAATTGTTCGTTTTACTGGACGCAAAGTGAATAATAATTAGGTAGCGTTAAGCCCCTTGTGTATGGCATTGTAAATTGGTAAGTTACTATCTGTACAAAATCTATGGATTAACGCTACGTAACTATTTTTGCTTTTACACCCAGTAGAATTCAATTCTTACCTAACGCGATTCCCTTTTTGTAAGGTAACTACACCGTGGTGCCTACTGCGTGATAGTCACCAAATTCTATGTTTCAAATAATGAAAGCAGGTCTTTAATACAAGGGTTAGACATTTTGATTTTTATCATCTAATGATCAATTAAATAAAAATGACTTAATGGAGCCGATGGAGATGTGACGATTTCGAGTTATATTTGATGATGAAACATTGAGGAATGAACTGGTGTTTATTGAATAGACAGTATAACAGTAGTTTTGAAAAAATTGAACGGAATAGTATTTCATTTGAATGATATTTTTGGCTGCAATAGTGACCGGTGAATTTTATGCATTGAAGTGATATCGTGATTATTTGTCAGTGAACAGCAGTAATTGGTGAACTTGATAAGTATGAGAGTGTGAACATCGAATATAATAATTTGAGAACACATATCGGAGTGATAATTTTTTCAAAGATATTTCAAATCACTCTTGTATTTTTCGGCAATGGTGATTTGTGACAGTGAAAAGATTGCCCGTGAAAGCCAAGTAGGAGCCGTTCTACGAGTACTGCGATAAAAAAAGTGATGCAAAAGTGACTGTGTCCTCGAATTATCACCAAAAAAATGTTGGTAATCGAACTGAAACGCGTCGACAACTCAAAACAAATAAGAACAATGGGTGCGTGGGAACTGAATAGCAAAAACTTGTGTAACTAGCGGAATGATTAAAACGAACATACCGACTCTCCTGGGATCTGGTACCATGGCATTGGCGTAGAGCGGTACGCTGTTCTGTTGAACGGGACTGGCAGCTTTGCCTTGCATCTGATCCTTGAGTAATTGTTGCTTCAGCTGATGCTGCTGTATCTGCTCTCTAAGTTGAGGCGACAGAGTGGACATGCTGCAATTTTGAGGCGACGACGGCTGGCCCTGGACCTGACGCGTGCAATACGACGAGGCGGACGACGACGTCGAGTTCGGCGAACGAGCCGCGTATTGGGGCGAGTGCTGATTCGAATAATGGTTCTGATGCTGATACGGACTGCCGTTGAGTTTGGCGTGTGGCGAGACGCAAGACGCGGGACTTGACGGGTGCGTGGAGCCGTGTTCTTGCGTTATTCCGGAATCCAAATCCGTCTCCAGCCATGAACTCGGCGTGCGTTTTTTCGGTTGGTGCACTTGCGGAGCTGCGAACAACGACAATTGCCATCAGTCACGTGGATATTTATTTGCGTACAAATGTACCAAGCAGAGCATTCTCTTGAGCGAGACGCGAAGACCCAAATAACACGTTGAGGTTGAATGAATCGCGAGGTGGACTGTTTTCGAAGCCCCCCCCCCCCCCCAATTAGTATTCAGCGCACGCGCGTCCATGAGAGTTTTATTAAGCTTCCGAATGACCTTGTCATATTCCCGGCAAATTGTCGCCAATAAGATTACCACGCGGTCGCTGCATATTAGCATCGAAATTTATTACGGGCGAAAGTTGAAACGGCGCAACTCACTGGAACTGGCTTGTGGCTTAATTTGCTGCACGAGGCTATGCGACTTCTCGGTGAGCTGTCTAACTTGTACGCTGAGCTCCTGGCGCTGACGTTGCAAGTCGCCGACAAGCTGCTGCACGCGCCTCAGCTCCTTCTCCAATGCGGCACTCGTCCCCGTTGAATCGCGAGCTTGCATGTTGCCCGCGTAACGACGCGACGCTTGCAACTTTTGTCGTAACACCACTAGGTCCTGCTCCAAGCGCGCGTTCTCCGCCACCGTCTCTTCCAATTTCTGCAAACAATTACTCAATTATCAGTTCACTCCGCTCCGCAGAGATGCCTAGCACAATTTCTTTGTCTCGTCGCGAACCTAAATTCATCAAAGATTCAACTACTTCTCGATTTACTGACAATTGCATTATGCGAATGAAGACGACTGATGCATTTGTGCCCTGAATTGAG